ATGTCGACAGTCACAGATATGTTCTGGTGTAGGTCCAAAAGAGAGGTCATAAAGTATCATAATAATTTAAGTTCTTGCAATAAATAAGATTTGAATCACATAATTTAGTAAGTTTTTTATTACTATTATTTTATTTTCTCATTTAGAACGTACTGTATAATTAAGTAAGTTTTTAACTTCCTTAATATACTTACTATTATTTTCCTTTCTCATTTTGAATGTACCGTGTGTTTTAAGTTTTTATTTTAACTTTCAAGTGCGTTTTTTTTTTGTGACTGAATTTACGGAGAAGAAAATATAATATTCTTATATGTTGAACATTCACCATTAGTACATGGTGAATGTCGACATTGACCGGTGTAAGTCAGAAATAAGAGTATTTGGAAAATATTTCGGACATAAACCAAGGTGATTTGACTAGGTGATTGTTGACATTCACAGGTGAAAGTCGACATTCTCCGGATTTCGGTGTTTCACCGTAACATATATATATATAAAATTAATAAGCTAGGTAGTAAGTACAATACAAAAAGACCAATTTAGTCTATATATATATATATATTATTATAAGAAAGGTTGTAATATATATATATATCTTACAACTATTTAGCGGTGAATATATATATATATATATATATATTGTGAAATGAGAGTTTTTCAAAGAAATTTGTCGATGAAAACCACGTTTAAAATGGACTATTAATTCCCGATTATCGCAAACAAATTTTCACTGGAAAATTAGTTTTTCCGGTTAAAATAAACAGATGATAAAAAGTTTTTGGAAAATATAGAGAATTTAAAAAAGGAATTTAACGGTGAAAACCGGTCATTTATTAACCGGTTCAGATAAACGGATAGTAACAATATTTCTGCAGGAAAAGAGATAGTTTCCTAAAAGGAATTTAACGGTGTAAACCGCGCTTCAGTCGGACTATTAGTTCCCAAGAAATAGCAATCGAATTTTCACCCGAACCTAGATTTTTCTGGTTTTTCCAATTCAAATTAAATGGATAAAAAAATTTAGAAGAAGGGGTGTTTTTTTAAAAGGAATTTGACAATGAAAATCACGTTTAAATCGCACTATTAGTTCCCGAGAAATCGCAATCAAATTTTCAATGGAAAAGCGGATTTTCTGATTTTTCCTGTTCAAATGAACGGATAATAATAAAAAAAATTACACGAAAAGGTAGGGTCTTTGAAAAAGAACTTAACGGTGAAAATAGCGTTTAAATCGGCATACTAGTTCTCGAAAATTCGCAATCAAATTTTCACCGAAAAACTGGATTTTCTGGTTCTTTCCGTTAAAATTAACGGATAATAATCATGTTCTTATATGAAAAGACACAGATTTCTTAAAAGAAATTTAGCGGTATTATATGAACATGAAATATTTTGATGATAAATATGAAATATAAATATCTGTTCCCAAACATTATATTAATTTTTCATACTTTTCTCATTCATAAATTAATGCTTAAAATAAAAAGAAAACAGATATAGCTTAATTTATAAGTAATGTAAAAATAGAAAATCTGAGGTCATCAATAAGAATTAATAGAAACTAAATTGCGTTTCAAGTAGCTGAAAGGTTCATTGTGTCAACTGATATGTATTAATATCATTTATTTTCCTTTCGCTTAAGTTTTGGAAAACATCTGTTAAAAAAATTAATTTTAGCTTGAAAAAATGATGTTGTTCTGCTAAGAATATGTATGAATTCGAAACAGTTTTTTTTTTTTTTTTTTTTTTTTCAGAAGGAAAGGTTGCAGAGGAACTAGTTCGCATATTCTGTGTATACTGTATAAGAGATGATGCAAACATGAATTTAAAAAAAAAATTTCTCGATATGTATGTATAATCTCTAATGTATAATGTCTTTGAACTGCAATTTCATCGGCAGATCTGAATTTCAATAACTCAAAGCATAAACAATTCGTTTAGCAAACGAAATAAAAACATATAAAATTGTTGAAAACTTTATCTATTTTAACACTATTCGTGTTTTATTAGATAGATATAAAATATGTGAGTTATATCGGATGATGGCTAGATTAGTTGCGATCTAAATTTGCTATTCTGATGTATAAATCAACCATAAATCCATATTTATGTACGGGGGTAGAATGGATTTAGTTGAATGAAATGCATCAAATATTAGTGCTTGGAAATGTACCAAAACTATCAGCTAAAGAATGATGCTAAGTACTGACAATATGTAATATTCTATGTTGTAAGTTCTTTCTAATCATTTTGAAGAGAAAATTATGATTTAATATCATAGAGATTGAGAAGATTTAATAACTTAGAGAAGATTAAGATTTAATGACACATTCATTTTATTTTATTAATGGCATTTCATTTCAGTACTGTATTATGTGCTTAAGAGAAGAGACAGATGGTTTAATTCATTAAAACGTTCAAAATTTTGGAATCAGATAATACTGTAATAATTTTCGACAAATTATTATATATTATTTTTTATATGTTGCGTTTTTTGCTACTGCTTTTATTGGCTACGTCTGAGACGCAAGTATGGCTTTCTATTGGAGGATATTTCTGACAGTTTTCTATTTCCTTTATAAAGTCTTCTCGAGCGTAAAATTTGATTTCTTCTTCGCTAGATCTCTTGCCATATTTCTCCCTATATTTTTCCAAAGCTTCTTTATTAATACAATTTTCGATTGTGCTGAAGGTTGAACTGCCGCTGCTTTTTAAATGCTCATTTTTCATGCACGATCCTTTCGTGATAATAATTTCGTCATAACTACCATTTCGTTTGTGGCACTTGGCAAAGCATTCTAACGAAGATCTCTCAAATGGCAGGATATCACGCGGATTAAAATTTGTTGTTTTAAAGTGATTCTTTTGTAATAATTTTTTAGAATCCAGCTGCATTTTTGCCTCTTTAATATTGCTTGATTTTTTGTTATTGCTAGAAAAATGGTTTATTGCATCAAGATCAAAAATATTTTTTGTCTGGAAATCTTTGATTTCCAAAGGCTTGTTTTTTGCATCACAAGTTTCAGGATGTCTTTCGCTTTCTTCTGTCTGTTTAAGTAATTTAAACAGTTGTTCAGGTGTTACATCTTCACCTAAGAAAGCAAATATAATTAGTAACTTCTTTATTTTAAACAGCCAGGTTCATAAACTCGATTTGGATAGTATCTGATAATTACGTTTCTGAAGCAAAAACTGAATCCTTATTTTATCTTATACGCAGTGCGTCTACAAAGGATTTCAGCAAACCTGCCAAACGATAACAGACAACATTTATTAGTATGACACCTCAACTTGCGTTTCCTAAAATATATAAGTTAAGTTTCCTAAAATATATAAGTTTAAGTAATTTAAACAGTTGTTCAGGTGTTACATATTCACCTAAGAAAGCAAATATAATTAGTAACTTCTTTATTTTAAATAGCCAGGTTCATAAACTCGATTTGGATAGTATCTGATAATTACGTTTCTGAAGCAAAAACTGAATCCTTATTTTATCTTATACGCAGTGCGTCTACAAAGGATTTCAGCAAACCTGCCAAACGATAACAGACAACATTTATTAGTATGACACCTCAACTTGCGTTTCCTAAAATATATTGGATAGAATTTTCTATGAAGTTAATCGTTTGCGTTGATCCAGTGAATATCTCATTGAGAACACAGTCAAGGAATTACTTTATAGACTGCATCTATGCGATGCAAAGTGATGAGTTCATGAAGACAGATAAGTTTTTAAAAAAATTTATTTAGAAATGACGCACAAAATCAAACTTTCACTCACATAGCTAACGCGAATTCTACAATTCTTATTAGATCTAGGAGACCGAGCCAGTAGAGACATCATTTACGCCATTACAGCGCCACTCTACGCTAAACTTAGTTCAGTTGAGTTTACAATATCCTCACTTTGAGATTTAAAGAAATGTCGTAATTACTATTATAATATTATAAAAATTATAATTATATAAATCTAGTATATTGGTGACTTTAAATCATGTAACAGAAGACGTATACTTTTTCATTATAGATAGAATATTTATAGATCATTTTTAGGAAATAGAATATTCTTTAATTCAGAACCTTTCTCAGAATTATCTTCCTTACTGTCCCTTATTTTCAGTTACCTCTATTCTATTAGCTTGTATGTATCGTTAAGGGGAAGACTAGCTGTACCGGTCGTAACACTGTTTCAAGTTGAGTTCAAGCCTAATGCGGTGAACTTTTCCATCTCGACCAGGTACCCATCAGTATCCTTTATTATAATCCTTTTTTTAAATTTTATTTTATTTTCATTGCAATTTTAAAATATGTCACCAATTCTTGGTTGACGCGGTGGTTTCTCAATGCATTTTTGAATAAGTTCACCAAGATATTCTTTCCTGAAAAGTTCTCTCGAATTGTTAAAAGTTTTCTTCTGTTAAAGTTTTATTTTTTAAATTTAATTTTGATGAATCCTGTTTGTCAGTTCCCTGTTCCTCAGTTCTCAACAAGAAATGTAGCGGGTGCGAGAGGAACTAATTTATGGGGTTTTCCTGAGATATATCTGAACGTTCTACAATTAATGATCGTCTCATACTCATAGGTCACAGCACTCACTTCTTTCTCAATCAATAGAGATTTGCCTTAAGCAAATTTTAACAATTCATTTACAGTGGGAAACAACCTTTTCCACTAGGCTGTAGTGGGTGGAATAAATTCGCAAAATATTTTGTATATGAAAATTTCTCTTGAAATTTTGTCCCATTTTAATTTAGAAAAATTATTAACAACCCCTCTGAAACCAGATTCTTTATCACAATAAATTGTGATAGGCCCTCTTCGTCCAGCAATAAAACGCTTACGGACCACGATAGGCTATTGTGGCAGAATTGGCGCAGAAATTTGCGATAAAATCAAAATTTCCTTACAAAATTACAATATGAACATACACATGCAAAATGAAGTGTGACTGTGGCATAAGCATATACATGTAAAGAGAGGGCTAACAGAAGGAGAAAATAAAAATAATGCTATAAGCAAAGTCTGGATTCCAATGATATATGAATTGCGTATAATCCTGTTTTAAAGCATCATGGAAGACATTAGACAGCGAGTTTCATGCCTTGGAATTTGCGATAAATTTGACATTTGGATACATAATCTTCGTTACTGGAAAGAAACCGACTGAAGAGACTGTTTGTTTTGTTTTAAATCTTTCTCAGCAGAATGCATCAGGAATGTTTCATCAAAACTAGCGATAGAATATGAGTATGATGTGGAATATAGTGAGGCAGAAAGAGTACGTTGTAAATGTAGCATATAATGCCAGATCCTCCATATGCTAATTCTGGTCTTAGCGCTTCCGTAAAGGTGAGAAGCAGCTCGGAAACAAAGCAAAGTAAGAATATTCAGTGATGTTAGATTGATTATAGGCCATACAAATAGCCAGAATCTATCGCAAAATAAGGATTACATCCACTAAAGCTTTCGCTAAGTATCTGGTGGGATTTCATAGAAGTAATTTATGGAGAGCTTTCACAACAAACGAAACTTTAAATGGTATCTTTAACTTCCCTCACACAGACCGCCTTTGCAATGCTGTGCCAGAAAAGTGCCCATCGCTGGTGAATCTGAGACCTGTATTTCATCGCTGCCATGCAAGACCCGTACATCTGTCTAGATTCCAGGGAACTTAGAGGTACTATACGATCTTGGATGGCATCCACCATATGCATTTAATATTGCTCCAACAGATTTTCACCTCTTTCAAGCATATTAAATAACTTTCTTAAGGGACAGGAATATGACAATGTAAAGGATTAGGGTGATGGTTTATGGAACTTTTTTTTTCCGCAACTGAGGTTAAAAATTCTTAACGAGGGATACGGAAAAGATAACCTGTAAATGGAACCAGTTCGATTTGGAATTCTTTCACAAGAACTTACTGTAACTGTAAGTGTGTATGTATTTTGAAATGAAAGGGGACAGATTAGTTTCAGAAAAAAAAAATTGGTTAATATCTTAAACGTCACATCAGCTTTTGGAAAAGAGAACAAAAATACAACTCTCTTCCCTAATTCTACAATTATTACACTTTTTTATAGTCTTTAAAATTACCTCCGTCACGTCGTTGTATATCATCTTTGATCTCCCGGACGCAACTTGTTACTTTTTCATTTTCGAACGTAATGTCATCTTCTTTACTAAATTCAGGTATAACACTGGTCTTAGAACATCTTCCATCGTGTCGATGCACATAATCTTTAAGCCATTTTAATACTTTTTGTTCTCTGCATTCATGGTCTTCGGCACAAAGTTTAATGCTCATCGGCGAATTTCTTGGAGTAGTTTGTTCTTTATTTTGTTCTTTATCATTATTCCCTGAAACTAAGAAAGTAAATAATTAAAAGAAATGTGTACGCAGATGAGAAATTGTATTGGTGCTTTTATACAGGACTCATTTATTTGGCGTATGATTAATAATTACTAACGGTTGCAGAATGTAAAAAACCAAAATCAGACAACATAAAACTAATGTAATAATTTAAGAATTATTGAAACTAAGATTAATATTAATGAATGATTTCTGAAATCCTCTGATTAATAAAAAAAGTTATTCGTTTGTGCCATTATTGTTGGATTCGGTAATTTCGATGCGATATACTAAGTCCATTCTATCGAAGCTATCTAATATTCTGTCTGATATATACCATCAGAAGTAACTGCAAGCAAACTGATTAAATTTTTTAATCCATCAAAGCTGATTAAATTTTTTAGGTTAAAAATTTCCACGACTTAGCTTTCCATGACTCAATTAATTTCCTAGTAGGAATCCACCATACTAAATAAATATAGATTGTAGCAAATTCGAATCAAAATTTCCTTACAAAATTACAATATGAACATACACATGCAAAATGAAGTGTGACTGTGGCATAAGCATATACATGTAAAGAGAGGGCTAACAGAAGGAGAAAATAAAAAACAATGCTATGAGCAAAGTCTGGATTCCAATGATATATGAATTGCGTATAATCCTGTTTTAAAGCATTTTTTAAAAGTTTTTAGAGCATTTTTTCAGAGTTTCAAAGCATTTAGATACATATTCTAGTAATCAAAGAGAACAATAAAAGTTAGCCTTGAAACTGAAAAATAAATCTATGGTTAATCTTTAGATTATGGTAATTATAGTAACTTGGCGATTTTTTGGCGAAAATCTGGCGACCAACTCTGCTACAGCAGCCTGCTAGTTTTGTTTAGGACGCCGTTTTGTTTTCACGAAGTAAAGAAAGGCCATTTTTTTTTTTTTTTTTTTTTAACTCAACATTTTTTTCCCAACAATCTGTTAGCCGAATTACGCTTATACTAGAACTTTTCTGGAACAAAAATGCTTAATCATGACGAAGATTAGGTGCGAAATTGAAAGAAAGTGCAGAATAGCAAACTGCTCGCCGCGTTTTTCAGAATAGCACATACACATAAACCATTTACACGTCGACTTATTTTTACTTAAAAAAATCCCAGAATTGCACAAAAATGGCATTGCGCACACTCTTCACTTTATCCATGTACACTGCTAAAGTCCTAGCTAGTCGCCTTACCAAAATTTCGCCAAACTACCTGTTACCATATTCCAAAGATTAGCCAAATCTGTCTCAACGTCTGTAAACTCATTTTCACTAATTAGGCGTCCTATCCACAGAAAACTTATTATGTAATATATTAGTACTATCTATCACGACAGGCCTTTTTCCTTAAGGTACGAATGTCACTTCTAAGAGTCTTTCTATACCTGCCGGATTTCTTAGCTCTTTAAGACATTTTGTGCGAATTCACTAACATAAGTTTACCTGCAGCGGGGAAAAAAGCTATTCACAGACACATTCTCGGAATTATGTACTCACAACTCTGCGCAATTCGTTTTTCAACCTCGATGAAATCCTTTTTATTTATTTTTTATTTTATTTTATTTTTAACCCAAACGGGCGGTACCTCAGAAGGGCTATTAGTCTCAGCATCTGTAGAAGTGAATACGGTATTCGAAAAATTAAAAACTACATTAATTGTCTCTTACAATCTCCCAACCTAAAAGATAACTTATAAATTTCTGCAGCTGCGTATGATTTTGCCATTGGTGTCATACTCATGTAAGGAAGTACACCATTTGCATACTTTAATAAATCACTAAGCTAATTCCAAAGGAGGTATGGGAATGGGATGCTTTCTACAGCAGCCGTCAACTGTTGTTCGCCCTCTTGGAGTGTTAGGCTAAAATTTGAATGGTGATATCGCAAGTTTTTTACTTTTTATTTCAGCTGTTTAAGTGATTTTTTGGCTACAAAATGGCACAGATGTATTTTTGAGGAAAAGAAAATAATACCAGATTCCCGAAAAAGGGTAAAGTTTTTCTATAAAATTGTACAAAGTCGAATTTTGCTTGATTTTAAAAGTTACGTAAGCTACGATAACACAGCAGTATTCAGAAATTCGCTAACGTATAACAGCTACAAGAAAATCACAAGACCGAGGAAACATCGCAAGAGTTTAAAATAAAAACAGATTATAAACAAAATTTACTTCTATCGTATTTCTGTCTTTCAGCCATGGCGTTTTTTATCATCTCTTCAAAAATATTAGCCATTTTTTTTCCAGTGGGTTCGTCTTCACTCTGGCATCCTATAACTGTAAAAACACGAATATGTTTTACTGCCAAGTTCATTGTTTTATCAAAATAGTAGTAAAAATAATTCCCAAATTATCTGTTTGTGTTACCATTATCATTTTATTTTTGATTTAAATGTGAAGCAAAACGCTTTACAGAAGAAGTAAGTTTCAGAATCTTTAAAAAGAAATTTTTCAACAATTATTGTAAAAACTTGTTATGTGGTATCTGAGAAAAGTATATTGGGTATGAATTTAAAATTTGCGATCGAATTCCAATAAAAAATGACGTTAAGGCAAAATTTTCACATTAGCGTTAACAAACAGACTAATTAGTATTCATAATTACATATTAATGAAAAATAAATACGTCTCATTCTATTATACGGTATTTTCTCTCTCCTTTCAGTATACCTTCGTGCTGTAACGGTTAGCACACTCGGCGCGTATTCGAGAGGTCCAGGTTCGAGTCTCGTCGAGAGCACTGCACATTTTTACTTCTTCAGCATCAAAAATCCTAACGAGTCAGGTCGATTACTATAAATTACTATAAATAAGATAAATTAGATTTCAAATTTTGCTAGCAATATTTTTAGAAACTGTTGAAGTAATAAGTAAGCATTTGTTCGGAAAAAAATAGCTTAAATTTAATAAAAGTTGGAAAGGATATAAATTATGAAGGAGAAAACTTAATTACAGACATTTTATAAATCTTTCATGTGTGACAAAATTTAATAAACACTTAAAATTCTTTTTGATTAGAGTTTAAAAGACCAAGATATGTTTTAATTGAATAAAGACTAATTCAGAAGTCAAACAACAAAAATCAGCGTTATATTTTTAAATTTTCACAGGACTAGTTTGATGGTTTTACCGAACCACCAAACTCATCATGCATCATGCGCTTTTGCAGCTGAGGATGGTGGTTCTGTAAAACCATCGAAACTAGTCCTGTAAAAATTTGAAAATACAACGCTGAGTTTTGTTGTTTGACTTCTGAATTAGTATTTGTTCGGCGTGTTATTGTGTCTGAATAAAGACTATCAATAAAACAGCAAGACTGTTTCATAATTTGCAGAATTAATTTTGTATTAGGTTCAAGAATAAGATTCTGATATCTGCAATATGCCTGATGAAACGGCATCTAAATTAAAATCATTATCTCGGAAAATTTATAATATACTCTTTAAATTTGCGTTTCTGTGCCAGAAATTGTTTCGAAGTTTTTCTAACATACCACTTGCACAAGTGCGTGCGCGAACTAGTAATTTCCTTCACTGCCAGGTATGTACTATAACCAGGGTCGGTGCCAGAGGCAAACGTTTTAGAATTTAAGAAAAAAAACTGAGCGGCAGAATTTTGGAATTGCCGAGTTTACGCCGGACGGCAAGAGGTCTAGCTGGTTGTGACCATAGACGAGCTGAACACTAAACGTGAAAACACAAAATGATTTGTAGTCACCTGGGCTAAACTTTGTAACTTCTGCAACGCAAGTCAGTCTCCAACTCCGAAAATATCCATGTTGGGACAATATCTGCGAATTACATGAAATTTATTTAATTGTGAAGAAAGCCAGGAAGATGTCGAACCATAACTTCCCGGTATAACAAACTGCGAATCACAAAAAGTATCTCAACTGGTAATATCTCTACAGAACTGCTAAGTCTAGAAGAGTTTTAGTCGTTGAATTCAAAATGCACTGGAATGTTACTGTAGAGTTATTCAAAAACATTTTTAAAGTAAATCGAACTTAACCATTTTCGACATGTAAAAGATCGCATCGTGAACTCTAAGTGCATTAACGCTGGACGTGCTACAAGTAACCGAAATAAAACTGATTATTATCTGAATGTTTATCGAGCCACCAGTGGTGCCCGAAGCAATTTCAGCCAGAAAAATTTCGAAATCTGTGTGCTTGTTTGTTAGCGATTAACTCAGTCACTACTATAGCCCCTATCGTCACCAAACTTTTTACCATACTTTTTCTGGGTTCTGGGAAAGGTCGACGTCCACTTTTTTTCCAAAACCTAAATAGCTAAAATCAAAGATACCAATTAAAAATTCTGAAAACGCTAATTTTCGCCCTGATTTTTTCGAGTGGCAACAGTCTCGCACGCTGGAGATAAAAATTTGCTTTATTTCGAGAAGTGTTGCTACTGCTCGCTTTCGAAGCGTAGACTTTGTTAATCAAAACTTTGTAAGTTTTACAAAAGCTATATATATATAAAGAATGCCTGTTTGTGTGTTTGTTCGCGTTATTGATTTCTGATCAATTATGATCCATTTTAGTCGCATTTAATCGACCTAAATTGAATACAGGTGAAATATTGGATGCAACTTGAGCTTTTAGGTCCATTTGATTATAAAGACGAAAATTATTAAAAACTTCGTGCCATTGTTGCTGATATCATGAGACAAAATTAATTTACTTTTGTATTGAAATTTTTTATGTGGGTATCACATCAGAGTGAAAAATGTATGACTATGAATCCTATTCTTTTTTTGCATCGTTATCAGAGAAGAATTACAGCGGTACTCTGTAGTTAGATACATTACTCTCAATCTAACATAACTGGCATCGGGTATTTCCACTAGTACTAAATATTTTCCAAGCTATAATTTGATAACCTGAATATTTTTATTGAAGATCTTGCATTTACCCCATTTAGACTAATTTTCTAACTTACAGTGGGCGTTCCACCAGTTGTTGAACCTCTCCAGTTCTTTAGAGAATTCTGGTAGTACTTCTTGTGTGGAAGAATACACGAGACGTCCATTTTTAAATTTGTGATTAGAGGAAAACAGTTTGGTATGCTCTCCACTACCAAACTGTTCAATGTAGAATGCCAAATCGACTTCGGGGCATTCCCCATTCTGGCTCTTGTCTTTCATCTTCTCTTGATAATCCGGGACCACATGAAGAAGTCCTTTTTCATGCAAAACGTCAAAAGGATTACCGCATACCCTAGTGAGAGAACACACTTCTTTCCTATCAAGACTTGGTGCCGATACATCTTCCATAACCTTATTAAAAATTAAAAACAAATACACTAATTAAAGATAAGAAAAGAAAAGAAAATCTGAAAGCTTTCAGATTTTTACATTACGCCCAAAGGGACGTTCTTTTAACGTTTTGTGTGTTATCTTTATTTATTAAATATAATGTTCTTCGCAATTAAACCATAAAATTTAATTCAACAGCAACATCGCAAAATAATTTTAAAATGAGCATATCTTTAGGATTTCCGATACACAGTCTCGCCGCGCTGGAGATAATGGCTTCTTCATTTTCCTTTTCCTCACCCTTAACATCGACAGAAATCTCCTTCAATAATCTTTCTTTCTTTAATTCTCTTCCATTTGCAACTTTCGTTTTAAGAGGTGTTCCTATATAGAAAAAACTAAGTAACAAGTTCTATTCTAGTTTTAGCTTAAGTGGCCAAGTGGGTAAGACACGCACTTTCTCTTGTACGGTTCATGGTGAGTTCGTAGGCTATGTTTGGATTTTCCCACGTACTTGAATATGAAACAGTTCCTTTAGAATAACCTCCACGAAAGCATCCTCCCTAAAGCTGATAGTCCTGCGTGCATTATTATAAACGATTGATCAAAGAATCAGTCTTTAACGTATTCATTTCTTTTACCAGTCAAATTAATTTGCATTACAAGGAAAGCTTATTACAAGAAACCTGTCTTTTTGAAAAGAAGGGGCGTCTTTTAACGTTATGTGTGTTACCTTTATTTATTAAAAATCATGCTGTTCGCACTTAAAACATAAAATTCAATTCAACAGCAATATCGCAAAATAATTTTAAAATGAACATATCTTTAGGATTTCCCAATACACAGTCTCGCGCGCTGGAGATAATTTTTTTTCCCTTCTGTACAGTGTTCCAGTTGTTAACTTGGAAATCGTAGAGTTTGTTAATCAAACACTCGTGAATGCTTTACAAAATATGACATCGATAATAAAACAAATTCCAAATTTGGGCTTCCAGATGTCCATATTTGGGTGGAGACGTACGTTATTCGAAATTCGATGGCTTTAGGTACCGTTGTTTTATCACAGTGCGAGAAAGATACATACATTTAAGCAGGTTCCTCATTATTTAATTTCTTTTTAAAGATAATACAGGGCTCTAATATTGGGTGGCAACAATTTTAAAAGTGATCCGACATTTATAATGAACCGACGCAAAATACCAAAATGAAATTAATAGCCCTTCCGGGGATATTGCTTCTTTGTGCTAAATAAAAGTGGCTTTAACAAATACTTTTTACAAAATCGTTTTCCGACTTTTTTAAAAAAAATAAAGAAGGGCCGAAAAAAATCTCGGTAAGGTTGCTGGAAGGAAAGTAACATATGTATACAAATCAGAGTAAAAGTAAATCTTTTACCTTTTCGACAAAGTCGACAAATCGCCTTGGCTTGCGAGTTTCTTTAAAAGATCGTTTGCAGTTATGTTTCTTATCCATTTTAAGAGAAAATTACAGATATCTACGGGTACTGTGAAAGCTTTTTTAGTAAATTATGAAAATTATGATATTACGAAGGGTTTTTTATTCAGGTAATGAAACGATGCTAGTTATTTGCGAATAAAAACTTTGTATTTAACAAAATTAGAAAATCCATTGTTGTGAAGTTAAAAACTCTGAAAAATGGTAAGTAACACAAGAAACCTAACAATGCTGTTTTGAAATTGTTAAAATGGAAACCATTTTCAGTGCTTTCAATATGAACTGTAAACTCCTATTGTTGCTTAACAAAAAATTACCAGGTCCATAAATCTGAGACGTAATAAAAACTTTCTAAAAAACAAAATTTATTTTTCTACACCATTTCTTTGTATAATTAGGTTATTTTTGAAACAGGACATAAGAAAAATATGCAATGTCCTCGTCGGGACTCGAACCTGGACCTCTCGAATACGCTCCGAGTGTGCTACCGTTACACCACGAAGGCATGCAGAAAGGAGGGAGAAAATATCTTATATCATATGCTACAAATTTGTAAATGCAACTGTTTTAAAAACAAAAGAAAACGTAGACGTTATGCGTCTGCGTACGTGATCCTTGTAAAAGATGAATGCCTTCTCGTTGCCCCGTTTCTCCCACCTTGTGAGTGGATGGTTACTCAATCAAAACATATAACTTTTATCATTACAAATCAGAATTATGATACAAAAATAAATATTTAATACTTCAGTCACATTACTCGAAAACAAAATTAATGGTGAAGAATAATAATAGAAATAATACAGTACAAGAAAATAAATTTGGAATAACTCAAATACAAATCGATTACATTATTTTGTGGTTACGCAACTCTGCCGCTACTGGTTGGTGAAAGGAATTTGATCGTCTTGAACATTATCTATTAAATTATCCAGTTCCAGCGTCTACACAATCACTGTAGTCGTCTCAAGAACTCAGAATTACTGGTTTTTACAAGAGCAACTCTTATGTTGGCATCTCTACCAAGGATCACCCGAATAACGCGTGCTAAATTCCAATATAGACGGGTTTTATTTTGATCCTCCAGCAAGACAATTTCTCCTACAGAGTGATGTTTATTTTTGTAATTTCTGACAGACTGCTGCCTTAACTTCCCTAGATACTCAGAGCGAAATCTCATTCTCAACAGTTTTCTCATTCTATGGAGATACTTCGCTCTTCTACTCAATTTTTCTTTGTCCACACTATCAATATCAGGTACACTCGACTGTGGAGTTTCATGCAGAAATTTTTCCGGATTGTAAAGGCAAGGGATCTTCAATCTCGTCAGACGCGTAAATAAGTGGTCTTGAATGGACAACTCTTTCTCATTCGCACAAGACTGTGAGTAATTCCTCATAATCTAGAGAAGCACGGCGTATAATTTTTCTTGATATCTGTTTTACAATTTGAATTAAACGCTCCCACCATCCGCCCCACTAAGCTGCGGAAGGAGGATTGAACCGTGGCCTTCGAGATAACTAATCTCGAAGGCCACGATTGAACTTCCATTGTATCTTTTTTTCTGCAATATAGAGCAGAGACAGTCCTAGTCGACCGTTTGCAAAACTCTCTCTGCACCCATAAAATTTCTCCCATTGTCAGAATATATGGTGGAGGCCATGCATAAGTCGCTACCCTGGAGGTTAAATCTCTTGAGATAGGCAGGGAATCTTCCGTGATTTGTGATAATCTGATTAGTATCAATATTATTTATAAGATTCCTTTTTCTATTAATTTTTAATATTTTTAAATAATTTGAATTTCTTTCGGGAGACTCCCATTGCCCTTTCCTTGTTTTCCATATATCTTCTTTCATACGTTTCAGTATGACTTTCCTTGAGTCCAATACATTCTCTATTAAATGACTATCCCCTAGGGCAGCTTCTTTGGCCAGCAGATCCGCTCTCTCATTACCTTCGATACCAGCATGAGCTCTCACCCAATGTAATTTTATACTATGTTTCTTTATAATTTCAAAATATATACCCTTAATCTCTTCAATGAGAGCATTCTTAGGCTCAGAACTTTGGAGGCTTTGTAACACCGATAATGCATCTGAAAATAAATTTATCCACTGTCCTCTTGCTAAAGTATCTTTAATCCATAATAGTGCCTATCTAATTGCAGTAACTTCGGCTTGGTACACAGAATTATTTTCAGTTAATTTAACTTCCAGATTATCTACTCCACCTCTGAAATTCCTCTTCCAGAAAATAGAATGTATTTTCCAACCTTTCCAAATAGTTGTTATATACTACAACAGATATATCATCTGCATAGCACACGAATTTTAGGTTCTCCATATTATTTTAAATCTTATTAACAATGTGGCTCCAGAACAGGGTGCGCTACAAGAGCCCTGAGGGCAACCCTTCTTGATTCTTTAAAACAGTTCAACTTGCTCATTCTTATTCTTAAAAATAGTGATTCTGTTCTGCAAGTAGTTCTTCACAGTATCAAATAGCTGTCTAGGAATATCAATCGATTTCAAAACAGTCAGTAGGGAAGACCAAAGAATTGAATCGAATGCCCTCGAACGTCGATGGCAATCGGGGCTACATGGCTTATTTGCCTTGTATTTCTAATATATTGTATCATAGTATAAAGTGCCAAATCTGATTATCTTCCTTGTCTAAAACCAAACTGAATTTCTCTAGTGAAATGTATTTCGTTCAGCCTTTAATGAACTCTATTAGTAATTAATTTGTCCAACACTTTTCCATGCGTTTTCAATAAGCAGATTGGTCGGGTACCTCCATTAGATTTCTGCAACAAAAAAAAGTCTTCCGATTTTCCAAGAATATGGGAATACGCATAATGATAAGCATTTATTATACAGGATAACATAAAAGGAAATAAATTCTCCAAATAATTCCTTCAACAGCCAAACCCTAATGCCATCTAGTCCGGGGGGGGGCAGATCAAACTGTTTACGACATTCAAAATCTCTTCACATGTGAACGGTTTTTCTCTATCATTAGTCTTGTCCATCACAATTTCTTCAATATTATCGCCGACATCATCATCATTCAAACCAATTGTCTGCTTATTAATTCTTCATATAGATCTTCCGTCGAGACGGCGCCCTCATGCATTTTTTATTTCAGAAAGATGTCATTTTTCGATCTATTCCTAGAGATTCTATAAAACCGAACATAGTATTCTTTATTCTTAACAAAAAAATTATTCTTAAAATCTCTCTTTGTTTTCCTAATACATTTTTTATACAAAGCAAGATTCTTCCTATATAATTTTTCTTTGCTAAAGTCTTTACCGTGATTACCAAATTTAGATAATCGAAATTAATAATGGTAAAATATCTGTATAATGAATTTCAAATTGAGGTAGTCGAAATAATTAATGGTAAAAAATCTTAACCATAATTACCAAATTGAGACGTTCGCTGCGATATTTTTAATTAATTTCTTCCCCTTAAATGTTTTAATGACTAATAATAGCGAATCTTGCTACGGGAATATTGTGACTAATAATAGTAATTTTGCTAGAGCAATAGTGTACCTAATAACAGTAATTTTGCTAGAACGATGGCGTAACTGATAATCGTAATTTTGCTGCAGCATTGTGAGTATATTATCTTCGCGATTGCGAAGATTACTAAATGCATCTTGAATAATCTGAGGCCTTTTTTTAACCATTCGCAAGTAAAAGTTCAGGTTTTTTTAATACACATTATATATATATTTCAATACCTTGTGAAATCACACAAAGAAACACATCATCAACAATCCATTTGGATGAATATCATAGGTCAATTTAAAGATTAAAGATATAAATTACAAAACAGTGCTTTAAAATTTGTAAGAAAATTCTAGTTTATGTCCTTATTACCCATTTCAAAACCTTTTTCACAAGACTTCTGAACAGGAGGGGGGGGATGCAATCAAGCCTGGCTCCATTTGATAATCAGTTAAAAAGTAATTTAAATCTAAATAAATCACCATAAATAGTTTTCTTCACTCTCAGAATTCATCGTATTTCTCGAAGCATCACAATTCTACAATCATATTTTTTTCATACATTCACAGTTGTAAGAGAAGAAAGATATTTTTAAAGTTAATTTTTCTGCAAAAAATTTTAAATTAAAAAGAAAAATTACTGGCAAAACATTTTTATAAAAATGGAAATAAGTCAAATAACATGATTCATTTTTTGTAGTATTTTGCTACCAAAAGAAGCAGCTAACTTAATTTTCCTTCGTAATTTTTATCTTTTTTTATAGGTCAAAAAAATGTTAAATTAGCAACTAAATTATAACGATCAGGTATAAAAAACCATGGAAATTATGGAAACGCTTCACATTTTATATAAATTTCACTTTCGAAACTTTATTACATTTTAACAAAGATGTTGATGAATCACGATAATGCAATTAAACTAAATAAACTGCATTAAAGACAAAACAAAACGGAACAACAAAACTCTTTTTTTTTTTTTTTTTTTTTTTTTTTTCGAAACACACCAATTTTAATTTCATATAAAAATAAAACAATGGAATTAACTATTTATTTATGAAGGCTCTCAAAAAATAGATAATATTGTCTTATCATTCCAAATTTAAAAAAAAAGAATAGATTATTTGTTATTAGGTTAATCAAGACACATAATCTCTCTCTATTCAACTAAAATTCAGATAAAATTACTCCATTTTTTATAAGTAACAGTAATCTCCGAACATTATGTAAACTGACGTAAAATGATGATCAAGATCCTTTTCTGTTATATTCAAACTAACGACTAAGTTACTGTCTGTCTGCTCGAACAGCCCCGCCACAGTGTCTGGAGGATGCGGTCGCTATAGCAACAGGGATAATATATTTCAAAGATGATTTGCTTTATTATTATTTGTTTTTGACGACTGTTTGCTAAGAGGAAAAGAGTTTATCATTCGTCTTCAAGACACCCCTACGGAAAATGGGTCAAGACTCGTTTCTACGGCAACAGAAAGCTGCAGACTAACTGGCGAGAGATTTTCTTATGATACACAGACTGTACAAGCAATCGCACAATTGAGTGATATATGTAACACTTGCAGAATAATAATTAAAAAAACAAGCTAATTTAGCATAGATTTTATATAAAGCTCTACAGATTTTGAAGGCGATTGTCATAAACCCCGCTTCTACAGCAGAAAAGGAGGAAAGACCTAACATATTCTGGTAAAAATATAGTTTAAAAAGTTAGTAAAAATATTTTCACCATCTGAAGAAACGACGAGGTGAATTTATGTCCATCGCTCATGAAATGTCTAGAATTTTACACAAAGCTTTCTCCTCTTAATTTTATATTCTACACTAGTATGTATCTAGCCAGGTTATAGTAATTGACCCTTAAATACATGCAGTTGCCATTTGGCAACATACAGACATGCAAATCAAATCAGAACACAAATTTAACTTACTGCATAGTGTAACCAATTGGATACATGCTGTTCACTGTTTACGGTGAAAGTTCCAGTGTAAGACTAACGCTGTAACGGCCTTTATTACGAGTTGATGTGTAAGGTGTAGACATCATTTGTGTTTACGAATTTTTGATTTTATGTGTTGTTGTTATTTTGATGTATTCAAATTTTAAAATGATTTGAACAAGTTTATAAGGTACGTATTATTGCGTAAAATTGGTATTACACATTCACCTATCATATTTGTTTTGCATAATGTAGCCGCTAGGCAACTATAATATTATTTAAAAAAATTGGAATAAAAACTTAGTTTAGACATTTTTAGTATTTTTCCTATTTTATTTGATATCAATTCTAATTTATTTTTGACTTGAATTAAAAAATAAAAATAAAAATTCATATGTTTAAGGGTTAATAGCAAGCTGAATTTTACTTGGATAGAAGAAACAACGTTATTATCCTGATAATTGGAGCTTCAGATTATTGGAGTCCTACTAAAATTTACGTTTTAGCAGAATATCCTTTTTTAACAGCAGGAATCGACACTTTCCTGAACTATTACGGAATGTATAAGTATTCGAGGCTTTTTAAATTCTTGACCACTCTTCGGCTTTCAATGTCTTCAGGTCTTCTTTCAGTTGTGACAGAGCTTCGGCGGTCAGTGGAACAAGGGGCAGGCGAGGAGCACCGACATCCAAAGGACCCACCAGATTCATAGCAGCCTTAAAGCACGCAATGCCCTGACCTGAAAAAAAAAAAGTGTAACATTGTAAAATTTTAATTCTTAAGCAATTATATTTAAGATCTTAAGCATTCTTAAATTAAACACAACTACCTCAGAAATGATTTATCGCTAAACCAGAAAGCACAGTTAAAATCCTATCAATTAAAAGAAAACTTGCCAAAGACAGTTTTAAAACATTTTTATGTTCAAAGATAATTGCGCTATAAACTATTAGGTACAATATCTACATAAAATTTTAAATGCATTTAATTTGCAATACACTGAATCGGTCATTTTTATTGAACATTCAATCAATGAAAGGTATTTCCGACGCCGGATATTACACCGTTTGTCGAAATTAAAGGACAATCTGAAAACGATCCGCCCACTGATAAAAGTTTTCAACCACTGTCCAAAAGTGTCATTATTTACGTTAATTATCTGGAATTAAATTGGATTCTTCGCATAATTTAGCTTATAAAATATGCAAATGTGTTGCGCAATGGACACATGTTGGAATTCAAATTGTTAGTGCTGTTTAATGTGGTTTCTCAGAGAAACCAACATTCATTAGCTGCCTCAAAAGCATCATTTAAGTGAATGGCAAAACTGGCGATTGTCTGAGTGACTCGAGAAGGAGAGGCAAGTACAAATGGAGGCCGTTCCCAAGAGCTGATTATGCCTCAAAGTGACAGATGAACAACTTAAAATCGCTTTTTGAGTATTTTTTCAATTAGTCATCGGCAGCTATAGTCAAGGGCATAGCTGCCGATGACTAATCAACGGCAGCTATGAGAAACAACAGCATCTAAAGATCGTTTTCTGTTACTGGCTTGAATAAGCCGTGAACGGCTACAAGAGAGCTGATTTTAGACCTCAGGATGCCACAGGAACTTGAATCAGACCTGCACAAAAGCTTCATGTAGTTTGCTATATCCAACTCACTTCTACCAAAGCTACCTCCATTTAAATTGGTTCAATGAAGCCAAGAAAAATGGGACCGTCTACGATTTACAAAAGAGCGCGGACAGAGCCTGAACTTTGATTCTAGGTATACTTTGACAGAACGAGAAACATGAGCCTTCACACGTTCATAAAAAACCCGTTCCTATGGGAGCGACTTTATCGTTTGGAGTGGAATATTCAAAAATGGCTGCACAGAGCTGCATATCTTTGATGGATGATCTGTAACTGAATGTGGACGAGGTCTTGGAACCCCATGTAAGGCTGTTTAGGGTTGTTGTTGGCTTAGATGTTTCGCTAATGGATGACGATGTGGTTCAATGAAGCCAAGAAGAATGGGACCGTCTACCATTTATAAAAGAGCGCGGACAGAGCCTAAACTTTGATTCTAAGTATGCTTTGACCTTGACAGAACGAGGAATGTGAGCCTTCAGACGTTAGTAAAAAAACCGTTCCTATGGGAGCGATTTCATAGCTTGGAGAGGAATATTCAAAAATGGCCGCACAGAGCTACATATCTTTGATGGATGATCTGAAACCGATCAGCAATATGCGGACGAAATCTTGAAATCCCATGTAAGGCTGTTTAGGGTTGCTGTTGGCTCAGACGTTTCGCTAATGGATGACGATGTGGTTCGCATCGAATATCTGTGATGTCGAAATGCCGGGAGACAGAAAATACCTTTCAAATGAATTGACCACTTTACTTACCACACCTCGTACCTTATTCAGCATATGCGGAACACTTTAGGCCACCAACTATGACGCACCAAATGCAATCTCAGATAGCCCAGGGTTTGAAAAAGGCATTTTCAGAAAAGTTGGATGCAGTTCCTCAAAACTTAATAAATTCTATGAAGTCAAGGTGTCAGGTTTTAATTTATGTCAGAGATGATCTTATAAAAAAAAATTCTGTTGCAAAACAGGGAGTATCATTGTTTCATCATTTTTATATTTTCATTAATTCGACTTTATGTATATTTTGAGATTAATCAACTGGCAAACATATTAAATTATGCTAAATAATGCTTTTAACAAATTGTTTTAAATCATTTAAGTACCAGTCAAGTTTTATTTCTGTCCTCAAAACCTTATTTCTATCCTTTAATTCTGATGAGCAGTGTGACCATGCCAGAGAAACATCTGATATTTAGTTAATGATTTTTCTGAATAAAAAATGGAGTTTGCTTACCGTGTCTAGCCAACGTCTGTACAGCCTTCAAGACACGATTCTGAAATGAAATTTATAAATAATCAAAGAAGAGAAATTGCTAAAATTAATTTTTTTAATTACCGTATTTTCCGACGTATAACGCACATCTATAATTTCAAGCTATATTTTTTTTATTTTTACGTATATTTACCGTATAATGCGCACCTATTTACTTACAAAGAAACCTAAAAGATATATGTGGACTGCTCTTGAGCTCACCGAGTAAATATGCCTGCAAAGAGGTTGGAAGTGTCCAAAAGAATGTTATTGTAGAGTTTCGAGAAAAGAAGGATATAATTTGGAGTCAGAATGCCCTTCCCACCTGAACGAATTCGTGGAATTAGAAGTTAGATTCGTGGAGTGTTTGTCTTTGGTGAAAGATGGAACGAATGATGATGATTATTTGTTTATGGATCAGAGTTACAACGATGGTGAAGATGAAACAGAATTCGATGATGTGCTTGAAGATATAACGGAAGACGAAGATGACGAAATTTTCATGTTATCCGATAATGAAAATTTTTAAGTTAATCTGTTATGCCATTTCTTTAAAAATAACAGCATTTAGGTAAATATTGAAATCTAATTTTTTAATGGTTATTCCTTATTTTTAAATCTATCAATCTATCATTTTTATAACCTGGCGTATAACACGCACCCGTAAATTTCGATCTTAAAATTTGGATTGAAAATGCACATTGTACGCCGGAATATACCGTAATTGGTGCAAGTTCATTTCTCAATTTTTCTTTAGATCAAACTTTTAAATTTCTAAATATTAAATTCTTTTCCGAAACAAAACATCTAATTGTCAAACATAAGTAAGTTCATTTGACATTTTAATAAATTAGGGATGTTAGAAAATTTCAGCTCCATTTCAATTTGACCGCTACCTTATTTAGTTATTCCTATATACATAAAAACATTAGACTATATACATCAAAGCTACACGTTTTTTTGTATATGCCAGAGTTTCTAAGTTCTGATGCCAGTCTTGTAGTCATTTCGATTACTATCATTCATACCAAGCATACAAAAAGTTTTTGACACGATGTGTTGTTTGTTCATATAAAAAATGTCTGAATGTTTATATCACTTACAATAGAAACGTCTGTATCATTTATAACGCAATAATATAACGGTTCTAACTTGTGTTTTGTTAAGTTGCGCGGGTAAATTACTTATTTTTCATCCCGCAAATGTTCACGTTGCTTGAGATACAAAATCTTTAATCCGTCTAATCTAATACATGGCCTCTCGAAAACCCTGTCTTCCCAAAGAATAACTGTCCTGTATACGCTTAATATATATTATATACGCTTAATTTATCTTTCAAATTGTAATTGTAGTTATTATCGAGTTAAGTGATTTAAAAGCAATAAATGTATTTCTTAATAACTTAAACAATTATTTTATTTTTAAGAATACAATGAATATTGATGTAGTTAAAAATGTATTTAATTTCTAAAGCCATATATTATGCATCTGATATAAAATCTTTTTCTTCCTCATTCTAAGAGGAGAGAGAGAGAGAATGCAATAAACAAAATTAAATACTAAAAAAATTTCTTTAATTTTTTAAAGGGTTACTTTTCAGTTTTAAATTTAAAAAAATACAGTTTGAAATTAATAAATTTTGAACTTCATATGCCTTCTTAATTTGTAATACAACTTTTTCACTATACGTCTTTATGTTTTCCCCTTCATGCCAACAGCACTTAACAAATTGCGCTACAATGACATATATATACTCAATAAGAAAATAATATAAATAAATGTACGATTAATTCAGTAAATGAAGACAAGCGACTTGCCGGGCCGCTAGCTGTCGTCGGTGCAAGAGAACTTTCGCGAACTGCGATTAATGAAATCCTTTGATGTTCACTTCAAAATCACGGCTTCAAATGCCTACAGAAAGACAAAATATCTGACTATTAATTCCGCGGATTCATTCAGGTCGGAGGTATATTCTATCCCAAATTATTTTCTCCTTTTCTCGAAACCCTAAAATAACATTCTTGTGCACATCTGCATTGAATAACCCGCCCTCTTTGCAGAATTATTTACTCCTCCAAGCATTTCCCCACATACATGTTATTCCCCTTATCGCTAGTCAATTCAGTATACCATTGTTCAAAAGGCCTGCGAAAAATCTTCGAATGAACGACCTCAAAAGAGAACAGCAACGCACATGCATCTTTCTGGTTTCTTCGTAACAAAAGGCATGCGCGTTATACGACGAATATAGTACTTAAAAGTTTTAAAATGTAGTTTGAAATTACCGCTGGGCGTTATACGCCGGAATAGACGTTAATTACAGTTACTCTTGGCGACTATCTCCCTAGGACAACAACCAGTTTTTCTGATAACATAAGTAAACATAGGTGTTAAACATTACCTTTCTAAGATGATACTAAAGTGATTGGCTGCTCGCTGTCACGTGACTTCTATATATTTACCATTGCTTATTTGTCATTTGCTTCTATATATTTACCATTGCTTATTGCACAAAGGGCTGGAAAGTAAACTTCAGGAAGAGTACAAAGCAGGACATGAAAATAGCTATAAAATTGCATGTGAGCGTATCTGCTAAATTTCAAAACAAAGGCCGAAAAATTTATAAGGGAAAATTAGAAAGATGTTCTTATAATAAATAGTCACAGAATGCTGAACACTGGTAGACGAATTATACACAGTCATTGAAAAATTATTAATATTAGCAAATTTATCGTAGGAATTTTTTACCCAGTTCATAATAAACCAGTCTATCTTTTCCAATCCATCTTTAGCCTTAGTCTTTACGGAAATTATGTTTTAGATTTCTTGTTTCCTCAATAGATGGCGCCAACAGCTTATTTTCTTTCCATATTCTATCTCTCATCTGCGGATTTATCCTTCGGCTTCTAATTGCAGTCGCTTTTTATCATCCCAAACTTCGATTATGCCATAACATCGACGCTCCTGCACATATAAATTGCTTGTCAGATATGCCTGCAAAAAGTTACTAACATCAACAGTCGAAAAAGAAGAAAACTTCGATAGGGATAGGACCCTTCAGTCCGGGAGCCCTTGAAAAAGAACGAAACGTTCACGGATGATACCAGCTGAAAAAAAAAATGGTTCCGTATTGAAACCATCGAAACTATTTCTTTTAATAGTTTCGATATATTATTCAATATATTCTTCTATAGTCTTCTATAGTTCTTCAGTTCTTCTAGAGTTAAATTTCCCACTAATCAAAACGATTTATAGAAACGTGAGGTACTGACAGTGCAACAGGCAGCTGATCTTTAGAATATGGTAACTGGTAGTTTGGCGACATTTTGGAGGCGATAAAGGTTACTGCCTGGGACTTTGGTAATAATGTGAGCAGTACTCAGTTCCGATACGCATTATTTTGGTGTGAGGGAAATGAGAGATCATGGGATATGTCATGTGGTATTAATGGACGAATTACGGTTCTTTAATCGGAAAGGGGGAATTTGGAAAAATCTGTGGCTGTATATTATTTTGTATTAAGCTCATTGTGTGTTGTGTGAAGTAGGGTGAATAATTTTGGGATTGTATGGGGCTGTCTAAAGTGAATTCTAGATGTGATAAAGAGAATTTTGCTTTTTATTGCGGAGGAAGTGTGGAGGAAAAATTCGCAGAAAAAATCGTTCAATAATTTATTGAATCCAGAATAAACGGTATCCACCATGTAGCAAGATTCTGAAGAGATTAGGTAAGTTAGTATTTTTAATTATTGAGATATTTTTTATGCATTGTTCTAAATGTAAGGTGGAAGTAAAGTAATTTGGTATTATTGGGAAAATTTTATTAGCAATGATTTAGTTTAAAGTATTAGATTGTAAGCTAATTTTTTTAATTAATGTATGTGCTTTTATATTTTAAGTAGTGTTTTGATTTAATTATATTTTAAATGATAGTTATTTTGTGAATTTTATATTTGTAGGAATTTGGTATACGTTTTAGTTGAAGTAAACGTGCATGGAATATTTAAATATTTGAGACTAAGTATTTGTAATGTTTGCGGTATGAATCGTTGGTGACGTTTATATAATAGATAATTTAGAGGTAAAAGTTTTTGGATATTTTATTTATTTTATACGTGAAATTTTCATATATGAAAGGGTATAACTTTTTCGTTATTAGGTAATTTCATATGTTCTTTTTAACGGGTTTAAAGATTCAGAAATTGTCATGCTTTTCGTGAAATTTTTCTAATTTATGAGAAAAAAGCAGTGTACATGGATATGGTGAAGAGTGTGTGCAATGCCATTTTTGTGCAATTCTGGGATTTTATTTTTAAGTAAAAATAAGTCGACGTGTACATGGTTTAGTCATATTTTAATTAAATGATAATGATTTTGTGAATTTTATGTTTGTAGGAATTTGGTATACGTTTTAGTTGAAGTAAACGTGCATGGAAATAATTTAAATATTTGACACTAAGTATTTGTAATGCTTGCGGTATGAATTCGTTGGTGACGTTTATAATATAATAGATGATTTAAAGGTAAAAGTTTTTGGATATTTTATTTATTTTATACGTGGAAATTTTCATATTTGGAAAGGGTATATACTTTTTCGCGATCAGGTAATTTCATATATGTTCTTTTTACCGGGTTTAAAGATTCAGAAAATTGTCATGTATTTTCGTGAAATTGTTCTAATTTATGAGAAAAAAGTAGTGTACATGGATGTAGTGAAGAGTGTGCACAATGCCATTTTTGTGTAATTCTGGGATGTTTTTTAAGTAAAAATAAGTTCGACGTGTACATGGTTTATTGTGTATGTGTTATTTTGAAAAACGCGTAAGGAGTATGGTATTGTGCACTTTATCCCAATTTTGCAGTGAATATTTGTCATGATTAAGCAGTTTTGTTAGATGAAATTTCTAGCATAAGTGTAATTCGGCTAGCAGATTGTTGGAAGAAGTGTTCAGTAGATAAAAAGAAAAGAAACATGTCTTTACTTCGTGAAGACAAAATGGCGGCGGGAAAAAAAAATAGAGGGTTGCTGTAGGAGAGTTGGTCGCCAAATTTTCGCCAAAAAATCGCCAAGTTATCATAATCTAAAGATCAACCCAACAGGCACATCGAAACACGTGTAAAGATTTGAGTTAAATCAACAGGCCGAATAACGATTATTGGTGAAGTTAAACAACAAGAATCAGCGTAATGTTTGTAAACTGTGCAAGACTAGTTTCCATAGTTTAAGTACAGAACCAGTCCATCTTTATCCTTAAGATTTAAGGAAATTATGTTTTAGTTTTCTTATTTCGTCAATAGATGCTTAATTTCTTTTCAGTCATTTTTATCTTACCACCACATTCTGCGTCGTTTTCCAAAGACTTGCATAAGAATAATTAGATCAATACCCGCCAGAGGTATCGTATCTCAACCGATTCTGCTGTTAGCGAATGAAATTCAAATCAGCTCGAACTTTCTTTAGTTTTTTTTTTGGACCTTAATTTTTTGGCTGATTTCCACTTCAAAAATTATCTCTTTATGTTTCTCTAACTTAGATACTAATCTAAGTTGCACAAAAGCGCTTTTTTTTTTTTTTCCAGCCAAAGGCCTGAGAGCTCACCACAGTGCCGTTCCTAGGCCATTGTCTGCCCGCGTACTTTCCTAAAATTGCCGCCCCAAATTTTAAAAAAATATATCGGTGATTAATAAAATGTTTATTTCATACTATGTACTTACATATGACAAATTATATAAAAAGTAATATGACATATATGACAAGTTCTTAACATGAATTTAAAATATTTAGGCGTGGTATCGCGATGAGAGTCCGGCCGCCCCTCATTTTCGCCGACCGCTTACTTTTACGCGCTGCATCCCTGCTAGGAACGCCCCTGGCTCACCACCAAATACTGGTCAAAACACCAGAAGTTGATGCCTCAAGAACCGACCAACTATTTCTGATCTTTTTCTAGCAGCTGAAGAAAATGCTTCCGCATTTAAACTACCGAAGCTAGTCTTGCAAAATTAACAAACATTACGCTGAGTCTTGTTTTTTAACTTTTTCAACAGATGTAAAGATATTATAAAAAGTGTGATGTACATAAATGTGACGATGCTGATATGCAAGACCGTGATGAAGACCGCGTAAGAAGATATTAGCAGAAAGAACGATTAGACAGCGTTAAAATATGCAGCATCTGCAAAACTTAAATGGCGGAAGGAAACTGAAAAGTTACCTGTATTTCTCTGGCGCCTTTGATGTCTCCTTTCTTGAAAGCATCGAGAACACGCAAGGAAATGGGTGCCATGAAGTTGTAACTCGCTCCAACGGCTGCAGTTACTCCACAAGCAAGGCAAGGCAGCAACACCTGAAGCGAACCGAAACAAGACATAAAGTCACTGTTTATGTATAATGAGAAACACACATTTTTACGCTTAAAATCATTGTGCTTTAACGTCGCCTAACCCAGGAATTTGTAAATTGGTTTTCATCTACCAGCAAACCTGAAACAGATATAAAAACTCTTTTGAATGAGTTTTTAGTTTCCCATTTTATGCAAATGAGTTAGAAGGAGTATTTAAGAAAGGTTTAGCTTACATTTTACTGCATACTTATGTTTATCGTATTTATAATCCCATATCACGTGAATTTCCGTTTTTGACATTCACGACGACGGTGCCCACCTGTTGAATATTACACATGTTTTCTCTTACCAGCTACTTCTACGAATTGCTTTTGAAGATTTATTTACCCTGCAATGACTTTCATTTTTATTTTATGCTATTAATGGTAAAATTCATATTTTTGCCAGAATTTTACGCAGCCAACCAGATGCTCTCATCGACCCACGTGACAACTGGTCACACCCCCTCCAGCACCTACTATCCTGTCTACGGTTGCTTCGTTGTTAAATATACTGCGCTCGGCCGTATTGTACGTGCCTGTTGATAATCGCCGGCTAAGTCGTAGAAAGTTTATAGTAGAAAGTAGAAAGTTTATGGTATAAAAAGGGTCGGTTCTCGCACCTAACGACATTTTCTACCGTGGATTGCCGAGAAGAGGGCTAATTATACGAACCACGAAATTTCCAGGTCGATGGCTTGGTCGAGGGGGTCCCATAGCTTGGCCACTAAGATCAATCACCACGTCTGTCGTGTCTGGAGTTTCTTCCGTGGGGCCGCATGAAAAGCCTAATCTGAAATGACCCCATTGAAACCAACACCTAGTCTCAAGAATCGTCATTGTTGCCGGCGACACTCGGAAAATGTGTGCTGTGTTCGCAAATATGCGTCAGTCCCTATCCCGCAGATGTGAACCCTGCATTACAGTTGGAAAACCTCTTCAGCAATTTCTTTGAGTCTGTAAATTAATTACATTCTTGTTAATAAAATGTTTTTTGAAGTATCTCTTCTCATTCTCATGTTAATTCTTTAAGTCTCTCATGTTATTCTTGAAAAACTACCAATTAACTTCTCACCTCTTGCGTTCCGACCATATAGTCTATGACGAATATTGTTCATTTAACTGCAGTCTATCATCCCATAACGTTTTGCCCACTTTTTCAGATTTACCTGTATAAGTGCTTTTGTTTTGTCGCCCAGACGATATAGTGGGTAGGGGAGCCTACTCCGGTACTAAAGGGCCTGGGTTCGAATCCCGGAGAAGACATGGATGTTTGTAAATGTATAGTGTCGATGCGGAATGGTGGCAGACTAAATATGCGGCGAGCCGAAAGTCTTCCCGTATGGATTGGTGAAAGTGAAGAGGGGTGGGAGACCCCGGATCCACCCGGTGTGCTCTTCCTCAAATTTCGGGGTGGAAAATAGAAATCGAATCTCTCTTCGGAGTAGGCTTTGGTAACCATTGTTCCATGTAATATGGACAAGCCAACAACAACATAAGCGCTTTTTTTGTATTTGTATTATTTACCAACAAAAAATTGTTATTGATACATTGACCAAAAATTGGTACCATTGGTAAATCGGTACATTGACCAACTAGGTATCACTTTTTTATGATTTGCTACTTACTACTTTTACAATTACCAACAAAAAATATAGCTGGGAAAATATTTATTTTTACATCTTTATTTTTATATTTAATATGCGGGGCCGTGAAAAAATCTCGATGATAAAAAAGGCTATTAATGGAAAAAGTTTAAGAATCGCTGATTTACACGATTAAAAATATAAAATATAAATAAATGACCTTCCGTTTAATTTGACTTCTAAAGGGAACCAAACAATTGGGTTTCCCATATAGAAGCGGTTAAATTTCTAAACATAAATAAGCGAATCTCACCTCATCGAATCCAGAAAGAAGTTTAAACGGCTTTTCCGTAAACGTGTGGCACTTGAGCAGATCTCTGACGTCAGTGGAAGTGAATTTTGCTCCACAGAAAGTCGGGATGGCAGCTCGGGCTTTAGGCAGAAACTCTGCCAGTACGACTGCAATGAAGACATTGTGCATAGCTTGAGTATAGAAATGTGTATAGCATTGTGTATAGAAAATGTGTATAGCTTAGTCTTCCCATTTTTATAGCTACATATGTTACGCCACGTTACTCTGACGAGGCATTTATAATCTTGCACAATTTAGCAATAGTTACCATTTCCGGAAGAATTATATCACGCGGTTACCATCCATGGGATCTGGAAAACTACTAGTTTTTAGAATTCTTACAGCCGCTGCGGTATAAGATCTTCCATTTATCTTCCAAGTTAAAATATTGCGTTGCTGAGTAACGCCTTCGCTGGGGATCTAACCACGGATCTCTGGAATACGCGCCCAGCATGCAGACCACTACGCCACAAAGGCATGTCAAGAAGGCGGGAGAAATACCTTATATACGCCCTCTTTTAAAGGGCGACTGGGGCTTTTAGGGGAACAAGTCACCAAATCCTGGGTGTGGAGAATCATCATCCACAACCCTTTTAGTTCGGCTGCCATTGTAGAGATATTAGGTATTTCTTTATCAGAAGTAACGAAAAATGAGCAACGCCTTCGCCGGGAATCAAATCAAGGAGCTCTGAAATAAGCGCCCAGCGTGCAAACCACCACACCACGAAGGCATGCCAAGAAGACGGGAGAAATACCTTATAGCTCTTCCAAATCTGTTAAGAGAATCTATTCTCCTCAAGAAGAGAGACCGATTTGTTTTAGTTTTTACAGTTTTAAACAAAATTTACGCCAGTCTACGGTTACATTACTGCCCAGTTTTAAATTTAACTTGACGTGTAATTTATTAATCCTAATTAGATATAGTACTACTCTGTTTTATCTTTTGTATTATTATTATTATTTTGTATTTCACATAATCATAATTCTTCAGGGAAGGTTCTTGGTATCGCAGAACATCACAAAATAAACTTTTACATAATCATTCCTTATAATTAAATGTAATGCACATAAATATTTATGACACTGATTTCTATACTGATAAATTATAATTTAACATCATAAATAATACGATTAAGATTTTCAGAATTTATGGTTTCACCGTTATGATCTTTCATTTACAATTCCTGATTTTACCAAACTGGAAGCCTCGCAATACTTCTAAACAAACATATCCATCAATAGGGCTGTCCTCTTGAGCTAACCAGTGTGTTCTATGCACTGGTGACCCAGGGTGCCTATGCAGTTACTTGAAAAGGCCCCTCCTTTTCCTTGCATTAAGGTAACTGGCCTTTGAGAACTGCATTAATACATTCCATAATAAAAATATAAAAAATATAATAATAATAATAATAATAATATAAAAAAATTACAAACACTCATAAAATGAGAGCCTCCAACATTATCTTACTTGAAGAGGGTGAAGGGAACAACTGTACAGAGGTAATTACAGGCCTCTGTTGAAGGAACCAGTACACCCTCATCATACTATACTTAACACCAAAATATATTTCACCGAAAAATATTTACACAAATATAAGTCGATCAATACTAAACTCAATTTTAACTGACACTGAACAAGAGACCCAGATAACTGATAAGTTCCGGACATTTGAAGTTCTGCATCCATTTTATTATTCAGATCAAGAAGAAAAAAATCTCTACATATAATAAAAGAAAGTCTGTCTATGTGTCTGTCAGTGTGTCTTTCGTTCGCGTTGCGCGTAAGCTAATAGACGCGCGGCTACGAAATTTGGTACATAGGTGCATCTAGACATGAGCCAGTGCACCTCGAAGCGATTTTTTTCGAAATTCGAATTCGAATTTTTTTTATTTTATATTTTGTGACGAAATCGCGTCATTTTGAGACGTAATGGGCTATAGGAAAGCGAGATTTTACTCTACACACTCCATTTTCACATCGTCATGAAACTTAGGCACTTAGCTATTTTACGAACTTAAAATAAATTTCGTGTTTCAATAAATCGATTAAATACGAATTTATTTAACAAAGGAGCTTAACACCTTTCAACGGGATTTTTCTAAAAGTTTATTTTTAAAAATGTATAGCTTATTTTTCTTTGATTTTTGGACATGTTAAACTTTTATCCTTGCGACTGCTTTTATAAAAAGAATTTTGGAAAAATGATAATATTTTGTATTTTTAAAAAAATTTTTAAATGAAGCTTCCAAGTACACTTCTCACATCTCACATCTTTAAAAATGTGATTTTGGCAACCATTTTCCAGTCTTACTGCTGTTCATAGATTTTTGATGAAATCGCATCATTTTTGAAGAGTTTCATTCTTTTAGAAATATGGGTTTAGCAACAATTTTTCATCGTATTTCTTATGTCACTGTTTTTAAGAGATTGGCATATTTCGTTGTCATTTATATATATATATATATGCCATAATAAAAGCACAAGGAAAAGACGGAACACTGTAGATGCGTGATTAGATCCATATTGAAGAAGAATTTTGATTGCGTAGTATTTAAAGAACTTGGCAGTCGAGGCATTTTTAATTCCATTTTTATTTCCAATTCATATTTGTGGCCACAATCACTTGGCACTCTAGTCGTGCCTTTCCACAGAAGATTTACATTTTTGATATTGTTGGGATAGAAAGCAAGCCAGCGAAATTACATCTTAGCAGAGTAGAGAGCAAAAGCTGAAGTGCGTACTTATGCAAGATGGAGGCACGCGAAGAGAAAAGTTTTGGTTTACAATTCGGTGATTGGTCGTCAAGAGGCATCTGGTATTAACGGTTACATAAGATCGCATGATTAATTTGAATGACGCAATGCAGATAAGTTATTACGATTTTAGAATAGAGAGGAAGAATTAATGTTTCTAGTTATATTATAACTCTGATTCATACATTTTTATCTTATATATATATATATATATATATAAAATTTGTATGAACTTAAATCCATTTAGTGCGAATATAACTATATATATATATATATATATAATACATTTTATTGATTTTTTGCTTGATAAAGATGTTCTTCAGAATAAAATTCTGCGCGGAATTTTATTTTTTGAGTTGCTTTCATGTTATTTTTTTGCTTATTTCACTGTTTGTAAGATATTGAAAAGTTTTGCATGATTTTTGTTTCTTCAACGGAAAGTTGGTTAATTTTTTTATTAGGATAAATATTTTGTATTAAGGGATATAGCTTATTTTCATTGTAATTTTTTTCTCTGAAAATATAGATAAAATATCATTAATTATACTTTGCTTTTCAGAATTTTTGTTTTTTGTATTCTTTTTGTGTTATTTATTGCTCATTTCACTGTCTTAAGATATTGAAAAGTTTTGAATGATTTTTTTTAGGAAACAAAGTCCTTAACCTCCTTTATACCATTTGAGTTCTTAAGATTTTGCAAAGGTAGATGATTAATTTATTTATTAGGATAATTAATATTTGTATTAAGGGATATTGCTTATTTCATTGTAATTTTGTTATACGCAATAACTTTTTTTTTATGAAGTTGTTCTGCAGAGTAAAATTCTAAGCAGTTTTTAAATTTAACGTTTGGTGTTCCCTTCAGCCATTTTTCCGGTACATTTAAAAGCCAGACGAAGGCTAGCAGCGAAGCTGCTAGTTAACAATACAAAAAGTACACTAACAAATATAAATTTTACTTGGCCACAGGTAAAAAGCAATCCGGATAAATAATGTTTCAGGCCTATTTGGTTTTCGGTTAACCAGAAATCTGTGGAATAAGATTTAGTGGTAAAAATATAAAAATAGCCAGAATATAATACTTACTCTCGACTCCCGAATAAGAGGGAATGTGGTACAGCATCAGAGGCAAAGATGGCGCAGCATCCGCTATACCCTTGAAGTATGCCACCAGATGCTCTGAAAATAGACGTGATTAAAATAATAGTAATGCCAATAATAGTAATCCTCATAATAAAATAGATTCTGGAAAATCATAAATTTTATCGAATCCGAATCGTAAAAGGTTCTCAAAACTCTCGAAGTGTTTGTCTCAAAATAAGAAAAATAACTGCTCTTTTAAGTACAGCGGGCATAGTTGAAAAATCTTTGGACGAAGGCTCGAGTACCAAAGAAGACGCCTTCGGAACTATCTAGTTTGAAATGTTACAGCGTCGTTTCGGCATGGGGGCACTTAAGAGTTCGTAAAGCCAGAGGCTGGTAGTAGGAGAAGTGGAGAAACAAGACCCTTGGATTCCCGATCCAAATTAGGATGAAGCTGGACAGGTGGCAAATGATGGAGGACGATGACAATTGATAGCTAACATTAATGAACAGTAAACAGGATTGTCCCGTGCCCACCACTATCTCTTAGAGGAGGCCACGAAACCTCTTAATGACACGAAACGCCTCATCGCAAATTCATTAATATTATTTGGTTACATTGCCAAGCAAGGACTGTTAATTGAATTACGTTTGGTGATGGGAAGGGCAGCCAGATGACGCTAACCTGAAACTTTAACTGAAATTATACATACGTGGGCACCAACACTTATAAGTACACAACATTTAAGCATATAAATCACGTTTAGACGCATAAAATGCATATAAAGGAATACAAGTATTCAAGCGCTTTTATATCATCAATGACAGGGACTCTCTTCTTGTTTGCCTTGATGAATTCGTGGTCCTGAGTGAGATCTTCTCGGATCGGGAAGAAAAGTAATAACAACATAAAAGAACTTTTACTTCATTATAAATGTTCTCAATTAAGGAAAAGCCGCCCAACCGGGATAGAGGTTAGCGACGCTGATTGCCGTTCCGAAGGACCTGGTTCGGAACCCGGAGAAGACGTCGATATTTGTAAATGTATAGCGTCTGTGGACATTTGGCACTCTAAATATGCGGCGAGCCGAATGTCCTCTCGAAAGGTTGGTGGTAGGAGAAGAGGGGTGGGAGAGCCTTTGACCCGTCCCTCCGGGGTGCTGTCTATCAAAATTAGGGGCGAAAGTGAGAAAAGTCGTACAGTCACCCGTATGGTGCTCGAGGCTCTTGCCAATGACAGACGTAGTCTTGCTCTACTTGCCCTGATGTATTTTGTGGCCTTGTTTTGATGTTTCTGTCAGACGAGTGAGATAAGTCACAACAGCAACAACAACAGGACAAAAAGCCAAAATTTTAAATCTGCGTATAATAAAAAACAACTTTATGAACAGTTTTTTTTTAATACGCCTATAATGACGAAGATGCGAGTGAAATTCAGTAAAGGAAAATTACAGTTAAAAATTTTGAATCTTGAGGTTCCATTTTCTTAACATAGCTTGACGAAATACATTAATGGAAAACGAAATCCGAACACCAAGAAGAAATCAGTTTAGCAGAGGAATGAAATTCAGAATTCAGAAAGAATCCAAGTAAAATATTTATTTGATTAATGTTTCATTGTTTCGGGTTGCAGAATACGCGACAATAGCCATTTCAGATTTGAAATGGTCGTACATTAATAACCGCTGTAGTCGCCACGATGTTGAATGCAAGCATGCATCATGTGGTACAAGTCCCGTTGGAGTTCCATACCTGTTGCACTTGATCAGTCAAATCAGCAACGGTCCGTGCGGTTAGTAGATGATGCTATATGTTTCGTCCAGTCATGTCCTATCATGTCCATAGTCGATGAGAGAATGATAGGGTGATTTTGCAGGCCAAGGCAACAGAGAGCTGCCTTGGCATTCTTATTGGAAAATGCCGCGTGGAACGAACGGAGACGAACATTCTTATTGGAAAATGCCCCGTGGAATATTGGCCATCAGTTGTTTAATAATAATAAATGGCCATCAGTTGTTTGGCGTAAAAATTTGCTGTCAAGGTATGTGGAATAACAACCAGAATGCTCTTGCTGTCACAGGAAATTTTTCACCAGGCCATAACTTTTGCTGTAGGTCCAATGTGTTTACGTCGCAGACAGCTTGTTTCCAAGCGCTCGCTCACCTGGCCTCCTTTAAACTAACATACGGTCATCACCGGTACCAAGACAGAAACGATTGTCATCTGAGAACACATCAAATCTCCAATGTGCTCTAGCTTGACACCACCGAAGTCGCAAACGGCGGTGATTTGGAGTTGCTGGTACGGCCCACTCGGAGATGATCCTCGAGTAATTATTTGTTACATTTCGCGGTGTCAGTTTGGTGGCAACAAAACTCAAACGTCCGCTGCTGATGCAGTGCGATGCGATACAGACATGCGGAGAATATGACGATCTGGCACATCTTCAGCCGGACCTCAGCCTTCTTTAAACAGTGCTCTGTCGTGACCACTGCTACCAACACGCACAGAGGATACATTTTTGCCAAATCCTTCTTCAATATCGCGAAAAGAAAATTAACCTTCCCGTAGCCCTATTATATGACCTCGTTCAAACTCTGTAATCTGCTGATATTGTTTTCTTCGTCTTCTTAAAAGCATTCTCGCCTCAAATCTCGCTCTTTACACCCAGTCCAGAAAATAAATAAAAAAAAAAAAAAAAACACAAAGTTTATATTACAAATTTAAAGCAAACATGATTTGCTTGTTCATACCAGTTCGTTTTTAATGTTATTCCTCTAGTGGAAAGTATGGATAAACTTCATCATTCAGATGAGCAAATACGCCTCGCCAATTTTGCTTATCTAGCATAATTCCTTGATGCTGTTTCATTTTCCACCAGTATAGTTAACAGTTCAAAATTTTTTACACTTTTCCAGAATCCTATTAAACCAAAGCAGTTAATATAGGATTATTTTAAAACTAAATACTAATATACACAAGATATGAAATGGTAAATTCTCTCCAAAAAATTGAAAGTGTGGCACTCGGAGCCGCCGTGAGATGTTATTGGTGATTGAGGTCTGATGCTCCATGAAGTTAATCCTTCCATAAATTTTTTTAATAAAATAATCAAAACTCAATAAAATTATAGTTCCTAAAGCTTTTCTTCATAATTCAAGATGTAATGTCTCTAAGTATCGTTGCTTTTTCACAGTACGAGAAACATATATACATTTATTTCTTAATTATTTAATTTCTCTAAATATAACGCATGTGTCTAATATTTGGTGGCAACAGTTTGAAAAGTGAAACGCCGTTTTATAGTGAACGATGCAAAATGCCAAAACGAAATAAACTGCCCCTTTAGGCTAATGATAATGACAGAATTTCATATTGACACATTATAAAATTTTGTATATACTATGTCCCCAGCAAAGTATAAAATGTCGCCATTCTATAGAATATCTAGGCATTTTATAGAATGCCTGGCGTTTTTAGTCAAAGTATGAAGTAAGAGACTTTAGAATCCTTGCCAAATTCTATTGGATTAAGCAGCCGCCAACTGACCAGACAGAAATATCGTGACCAAGAATACCTTTATTTCTAAACAAGTTCTTAGAACATAAAATGAACTGAGATCTCGGATATAGCTGTTTTAAAATTCTTGCAGAAGTTCGAAGTCGGTAGAAATTATCCTGTGTCGCACTCATTACAACTGCCAATACATTGCGCGAATTATTATATACTTTCCCTAGGCATTGTATATAATATGGAGATGTGTTTCATTCTTTGCCAGTACCATAGTGTAGAGACATTAGATTATTTCGAAGCAGGAGACATGAAAAATGAGCAATGCCCTCGCCGGGAATCGAACCACGGACCTCTCGAATACACGCCGAGCGTGCTGACACTACACCTCGAAGACATGCCAAGAAGGCGGGAAAAATACCTTATAATATAAAGGTCTTTCTTTCCTTTTAATTTTATTCAAACGATTATCTCCGTTTTTGAATAGTTATTCCTCTTTAAAATTTTGCTCATCTCTATTCATGTCATTTTGCATGTCGAAAGGAACTGGACAAAAAGACACTAACTTTTGGAAAGTAATTTCTCGTTTCATGCAGTTTCTAATTTTATTGAATGCTGAGCATTTACATTCATAACTAGGAAATAGTATGTAGTATTTTTACTGTTTTAATGCTAAATCCCTTCTCAGTAAGTAGACTTTAAATAACACTTATTTAAATGCAAACTTTTTTCTGTTTACTGTGTATATATATATGTGTGTGTATGTACGTGCGGGTGGGTGTAACTACTTCCGTTACGGTGTTGTTTTCATCAGGTGTTTTTTAAATTGCATCAAATTGGATAATTATTGAAAACAATATGATTGCCTAAAACAATGTAGGGCCAACTCTCATTCTTCATGAAATGAAGCCTCGTCATACATTATTAGAATAACTAACTAACTGATTTGTACCTACTCCTGCAACTTAATTCAACTATGGGTGTCTTGCCCGTTAGTTCATATTCTCCTTATCGGGTATGAGGAACAGTTAGACCAAAAGAGTCACACTCATTAACTTACAATACACCGGTTCGAAGCCTTTGCCAACCTACAACCTTAATGGGGAGGCCGTCTACAAACCACGCAGGATTTGGAGATATTTGAACAGTCGTCAATGATAGCTAGTCCATCACGCAACCCACTCGGATAGATGTCAACCCTTTGACTTCTAACGGAAAATATACTATGTCCCACTAAAAGTTTAAAAATGACTGCTGAGTTTAAAAAGTACTTGGAATCTCCTGAATGTTCAGGATCACCTTCCAATAGCTGTAAAGTCAAGACGCCGCTGTGCTCGTTTAACACAAGTGAACATACAGAAAAGAACAAATAGGAGTTGCCCAATGTGTAATGTTGGCTTATGCAAAGAATGCTTTTGACTCTGTGCCATTTCATATAATTACTTGTATCTGTTTCATATAATAAAACATATAATAAAGTTTTCCAGCATAATAGGTGTGCTTACAGTAAGTGAATCGCTGCGTGTGGGATACATGCATCCAACCATTAACTACGACTCGAACATATCTGTCCCAGCTTAGCTAGTCTGTTTAGCTTGAAAACTGTTCGTCAAAAAAATCCCAAATGCTAAATTTACCGTATGTATGACATATTTTGTTCACTTGGCTAAAAAACGGGGTAATTTTTTAAAATTCGTAATCAAAGGGTTAAGTAAGAATATGGCTTGTGTTTTTATTGCTCCAGTGCCGATGCTGCCTAATACAGATCCTAACCAGCACAATAAGCAACCTACGGGGAAGAATAATTAGAACCAAAGTGCTTTCCAAAATAGCTCCGCTCTAATGAATTCGGATAAACAGGATTGTACAGTAAAGCATTTTTGATATAGAGAAAAATTGTGCATTTTATAATACGACAGCAGGCTCCTTGCCTATAGAATAATTCTGAAACTTTAAAAAAGCCATTAAAAGAAAAAAACTTACCATCGGAAGGCGGCTTATAAAAGAGGGGAGGAAGAGATGCGATCCCAGATGCACCCACAGATTCAGCGTGTCGAGCCTGAAATAAACGACATAAAATAAAAAGCCTGAAATAAAGAAAATACCATGCACAGAATATCAATGTTGAAAACCAAAGACTGTTTTTGAATGTATCGACTAATTGCGCGAAGTACAAGATTCTAGTCAGACTCAGAGTTTTAAAAAAGGAGAAAGAGTTTCAGAGATTCCCTCTCTTAGAATTTGACAAAAAATTTTTAAAAATTTAAATATTACAAACATTTAACAAAAATTAAAATAAAACTGCAGTCCGATTTGCATATTAAGATACAACGAAGCACAGTCAATGTACTTCTCATTTCTATTTTTTTCATCGTCGCCCAACCGATATAGTGGTTAGCATCGTATACGAGTCAGTTTCCCTTATAAAGTCTGCAGAATCATTAGGTTACTTTGATGCTGGGAGAGGTAAAAAAATATGCAATGCTCTCGCCGGGACTCGAACTTGGACTTCTCGAATACATGCCTAGTGTGCTACCGTTACACCACGAAAGCATGCAAAAAGAAGAGACATAATATCTTATAAATAATCCACGAAGACATCTTCCCCTTAGGCAGTATGTTTACCACCGTATGCCAGCATCGCATAGCTTTGACTACGATACCGATGTCGATGGTACGCTCTGTCGACGCTACGCAGTGTCAATCCGTATCGATCTTGTGCAATGTCGATTCTACGCAGCATCGATTTATGAACGCAAGCGAAAATTGCCTTGGATATTAGCTTAGGTAATGATCGATAGTAAGATTTGAATACGAGTTGAATTATCAGTTTTTTTGCAGGCTTACTGGGCCATTATTGGAATTCAGAAAAGGAGCAGATAATCAAAACAATCCTTACCAGTTCTTGAGCATCCTTGATACTGTTAGCTCCGACCTGAATGATAATAAGCTCCAATCTAAAAAAAAAAGGAAGAAACGAAAGCAGTTGTCTCACTAATTAGTTTCAAATAAAGAAAAATCAGAAATTTTATTCCTGTAGCATTCTTTCGACTTAATATGAAATTTCGAAATAAACATTCAAAAGCTAGCCCTTTATGACTTTTGAAAGTGTTCGTAAATATTCGTCAGTTTTTGAAACATAGTAAACACCGTGAGAGTGATATTCAGTCTTAAATCACAAATTATTGTGTCAGACACAGTAGTCCTTCAGGGATAAAGCCCCTTTGGACTAAAGAAGGATAAATTTTTTAATTTAATAATTTTAGGTAAGTTTAGAACAAATTTTACAAAATTTAATATTTAAGCATAATTTGAGTCGTAGAATCGAAACATTGAAAAACGTTCGTTATGTCAGGTCAGAAAAAGTCCGACTTTGTATCTGAATACTTACTCGTATGTTAGAGCAATGTTATATAGTATATAAATCTAATATATATTCTAAGAGCCGCTTACGGACAAGGAGATATGAAAAACGAAGTTAAAATTTCTTCAGTCGGAGAACTACCCCCCCCCTTATTCCCCATTTCTTTGCTTTTATTTTTTTGGGGGGAGGGGGTTACAAGGTGTTCAATGTGTCATATTTTACTCTGAATCAGTTGAAAGGGCACTTACTTTCCTTTTCCTGCTTTGACCCAGCCTTCAGCAATGCTTTTCCGCTCTTCTACGGTCAAGGAAAGACCTTCGCCAGTCGTACCATTCACTGAAAATTAAAATGAAATTTACTGACAATCTTGCATTAAACAAGGTATCATTAAATTTCTAACTGAATAGTCAGCTGCCATTTTTCAAAAGTTTAGTTAAAAATACTTTCCGAGGTTTAAGCCGCCTTAAAAATCAGATGATTGTCATGAAAAACGTATTTCAAAAACATAAACCATTAATGTGAAAACTTAACACTATAGTCTAACAAACTGGAAGAGGAACACGCCAATACAAAATTTTTAACTAGGCAAAAAATATCTTATTTTGCTGTAGATTCTGAGTAAAACTCTAACACAGACACAGGTCTCTCTATAAGGTATTTCTCCCGCCTTCTTAGCGTGCCTTCGTGGTGTAGTGGTCCTGCACACTAGGCGTGTATTCCAGAGGTCCATGTTTCGGTTCCCGGCGAAGGCGCTGCTCATTTTTCATCTTTACTGCACCCAAAAAATGACTAATGTTTCTACAGTGGAGCCCGAACTAAAAGGGTGGTGGATGATGATTCTCCACACCCAGGATTTGGCGATTGGATCCCTTAAAACCCCAGTCGCCCTTAAAAAGGGTGGAGTATATAAGGTATTTCTCCCGCCTTCTTAGCTTGCCTTTGTGGTGTAGTTGTCTGCAAACTGGGCGTGTATTCCAGAGTTCCGTGGTTAGATTCCAGGCGAGGGCGTTGCTCATTTTTCATCTTTCCTGCTTTCAAAAAATACCTAATGTCTCTACATCTCTTCCTCAGGAAAGAAAAAAAAAATTGCAAAGATGGGAGAAGCAACAGCCATTACATATGAATGGAATAAAGCGAAAACAAATGTGCCACCATTAGAGAGGAAAGCAGTAATGAAGTGCGAAAAATTATAATATCACAATTCTGAAAGAGTTAGAAAGAAGTGAATTGGAATTAATGTCATAGCAAAAAATGATAAATTTATGTGAACAGAGTTGTATTTTAAAACTTAATCATAGATTTGATTTTGGTTTGCAAAAATTATTCTTAAAGCATCTTCAGTTTGTAAGGATTATGTTAATTTTATTAACAGTTAAATTTTAAGTGAAAGTTCCTTTCCTGTCAAAATTCTTAACTTCAACTTACTACTTCCGGCCAGAACGTAGTTTGGGAATTTGCTGAATATTTAATGAGAAGGAGCGGTATTTAAACCACGAAGTTACTTACCGAGACAGAGAGAGAAATAGAGTTTCTGAACTACGCGCGTCTGCCTTTTTGGCCGCTCTCCCTCTCAAAGCTGTTTTACGCTCGGCCGTACTCAGGCCCTTGCTAAGCTTCGTAGTAAAATAAGTTAAGGGGCCAACTGTCATTGAACCTTGATAGCTTTGGCTATACTTAGTTAGTTAATCTTAGTTTTAGTTTAATTCTTAGTCTTTTAAGTTCAAGTCCAAAGTGCGGACTTTATTTGTTCACTCCCAGGCGGAGTTTTGTTAAATCTTATAGAAATAATAAAGGGTTATTTACCCTTCTCTCTTGTTGTTTCCTGTCTTCGAACCTGAAGCGATTATGAAACTCTAGCGATTATTCGAGTATCAGTTCCTAGGTTCCTCACTTCCAACAATAACTTAGAATTTCAAGTGAGGGACCTTACAAGTTGGTGAACTGTATTTCTTTGAAGCTTTTCACGTTCACAGAAATGTATCCTCCTTTCTTTTTAATGAAATTAATTTCAATGCATTTCTTCCGAATGCTTTCAAGTTTCTAATATCTCACTTTTTCAAGTTTTATTGTTATTTGTTCGACAGTTGGTTTTGCTCCAAGCATTGCTTTCGTTATGAGATGATGGACATTCTTCCTTTTTTCGCAAATGAAAAAAGGTGTGAAGATAAAAGTTGAGCAGGATGCCAGATTTTGTCAACATTTAGCGATTTCTCGCCCACTAGGCGATATTTTGGAAGTTTTCACAAAACATAATTTTATAACCTTGGTAACGATTTTTCTAGAAAGTTCTGCAAGGCATTCCTTCCTTGTCTGTGGGATAAACAATAGAATGCCTGAAACCGTTAATTCAGTTGAGAATGAGTATTATTAGACTGATGTATTATTCAGTTTAAATATTCGGCAATTTTTAGCCTTTGCAGGCGAGCATTTTTATAGTTTCCAATATTTGCTTAAAACTTTTTAAAGAAAATTTCTGCATTACTTTTTAACTCCCCTTCAGCTATCTTTTTAACTGCCTTTTTTTTTATTTTTTTTTATTTGTTATTATTATTTTTTTTTTCCAGCTGTAAAACTGTAAAAATCACTGAAGCACGCGTGGCGCGTAACCGATTTAAATTCAGTCTGAAATACGCACAGAAAATAAAAATGGAAATTCTTACCAAAAACACCTTTTACTCCATTCTTTACTAAATGCTCCACGTAATCCGGAATGATTTTTTCATTGATCTCACTGAAAGCAGATAATTATTTTAATTGTAATACTAAATACTAGCATTTTCACATAAATATCACCCTAAGTCAAAACGCTTATTTTTACTTTGTATATTAAATGATCTCATTTAAATAAAAATTATAAATATTTTTTGGGGGGGCAGGGGGAATCATCACATTTAAGTCTATTTTCTTGTAGATGAGCATACAAAAAAATTTTACGAATAAATAAATAGCATAAAATATCATGAAAATACGAAAAACGATACAGATATTCCTAATTTCCTTAATATCTAATATTGCACATTCATTAATTAAATGTTAGCTGCTGGGTAAAATGAAATCTCAATTCGAAGCGAATTTCAGTTTTAAAGCTCAGACGTTTGTTTTTGCATTTCTTTTTCAGAACGTAAAACGTAATAAAGAGAAAATTATCAAAGAATTAAAAAAAAAAGTGTGTAAAGATTTATTTACTTTTATCTAAACAGTTATTTTATGTTAAACACCTTTAATGTCCTTTTCACTTTCCATTTTGCTGCCAGAATGCAAATTTTACTTCTCGAGTATTCAAGTGAAGTAGAAAGAGAGAATATTTAAAGGAAGGTTTTGAATCGTTGAATCAGAACTTGTTTCGCCTGCTGAAGGCCACGTTAGTAGTTGAAACTCTTGATTGCAGTCTGTCTGCGGCGTCTTCCTAGACTTGCTCCGCTAAGCCAACTTGCGTGCTATTCATTCCGTGTAGCCTCTGGCTAACTTATCCCTCCCGGGGTCGAGGTAGAGAACTCTGCGAAGCTACTGGCTAGGATCTGTACCTAGACAGTCTCGGCACGAGGGTATAAAAATAACGAACCTAGAGGTTCTAAGGGTCCGGAAAGATCGCTAATCGGTCGGCCCGTGGGTCTGGCACGTCCTAGAACTCAAGTCTCTAGCAGCCCGGGAAGGCGCCCCGGGTTTGTCACTGGGCGATAAGCAGCCCGGGTGACTGGTAGGTAGCAAATTGACAACGGATGTCAGATTCAGGGGACAGCACCAGTCTCTTCAGGCTATGACAACGTTATGATTCAACTGACGGCGACAACGATTATGTCATGATGATAAATGATTCTGTACAAGACTCTGATTGTATATACTTTGTATAGTATTCTTTATCTTTTGTGTTGTATGTATATGACTGCACTGTGATGACATTAATATCTTTACAAGCTATGTACCTAAAGCTGAATGTAACCGTAGCACCTAGTGCTAACTTGTTATGTACATCTGTAACTATTACTGTATATATCAAACTATTACTGTACATTTTGGTTCGATAAATGTCCGCCATGAGAGCATTCTCCTGCTTGGTTAACTCCTTAGGTCGGGAGCTCTCATAGTGGTGATCAGATCAGTCTCTTCACGCTCCATTCAGACGGTGGTATAAATGTCGTAGAAGCATAGTCATAAGGCACAAAATGCGGAAGTTTCGTTCACACCTATCAGACAGGGTCTAAACCGTAGCCAGTTAGAGAAGTTAAATTTGCGCATGCGTGGATGTACCTACAGCTTTCCTGCTCTGTTTTCCCGCTCAATAGGTTTCGCGCGTTCGCTCTGATTGGTCGAGTGTTATACCGATTCCGCATAGAGTTGAAAACTTCGAACTTTGTGCAAAAATCCCTAAACGTTTTTATGGCGTAGCAAGATCTGATTACCTAGCAACGAAGCTCGGCTTAAACCAGTTGTGACATTTATGCCACCGTCTAAACGGAGCCTTAGGGTGCGAGGACAAGGGTCGAACCCCTGAGCCTGGTTGAGAAGTGGGATTGGACTCGTAGTGTCATTAAGTTGACGGAACGGGGAATGCCTTTATCTTATCTTGGCTAATCTACGATTTAGCTTAAATTTGAATTCAGTACTTTTGAGTTACACCGTAAAAGTTGGCTGTTTTCGCAAGCACAAGAAGTGCCTTGTGTTAAATTATTGAGTTTCTAATAGAAGAATCTTTTACACCGTTCTTACATTCTCTGTCTGATTACTGGACAGAACCAGTAGATTCTCTGTCTGATTAAGAAGAGAGTTATCACTATGTCTCTGTCTGACATAGCGATAACTCTCTTCTTAAGTTCACCTTGAGTCTAAAATTAGTTTATGCTTCCGAAGAAGGTGAGACTCTAGAAGTGTATTACATTTATACAAAACTTAAATAGTTGCAATATGTACACGACGCCAAAAAAAAAAGGGGGGGACAGTTCTATATCTCTTGTTCTACTGGGCCGATTGACGAAATTCAATTTGCGTTTTTTATGTCTCGAAAGTGCGACTTGGGATATGTATTAGATTTATATAAAGCATTGTTCTAATATAAGTATTTTGACACAAAATCGAACTTTTTCTGCAAGATTTATTTTAAAAATTTGTATTTTTAAATAATTTTTAATAAGTTTCCCAAAACAAATTTTGAATTATAATCTATAAAAATTTTACCATCATCTTAAAGTAGACGTTTTTCTAAACATACCTGCAAAAAATTACAGTTTTTATTCAAAATTTCCGGAGATATATGTGAATTTATATATTGGCGCGTTTTGAAATTTGGCATATTTGTTGAAAGCGAAAAAACATCAAATGTGGTTTCGACACTTTGCTAAAATTATTTGGAAGTAGAAGCGATGTAACTTTTCTTCGCTCATGCATAATATAAAAAAGTAGGTATGAGGTGGCTTTTTTCCGCTCCGGCATAATGGAAGGGAAAGAAAAATGGATTGCCATATATTAAGAAGTTCGCCAAGTGAATTATTCTTGGTGCAAACTGAAAAAAATTGTGCCAAGACAAATTTTTGAATTTCTCCGTCAATTTCGCATCAAATTTTACAAAATTTGATATCTAGGCATAATTTGAGTAGTAGAATCGCTATATGAAAAAAATTGGTAAGTTATTTCAGAAAAGGTCCGACTTTGTGTCAAAATACCTAGGATAGAACAATGCTATATGTAAATCTAATATATATCGTAAGTCGCGCTTTCTTGACATAAAAAACGCAGTTTGAATTTTGTCAATCGGCCCAGTAGAACGAGAGATATAAAACTAGCCCCCCCCCTTTTTTTTTCTCGCAGTGTACGCTTTGTTTTGTTTTGTTTTTGAAATTTTATCGTCTTTTTTCCACTTTATTTTAGGTACAGGTGATGGTATACATAACTAAGCAGACTCAGAAATTTTGCTATCGGTTTATTATAGTGAGTCAGAAAACTATTTTAGCTATGATTGGTTTATGTGATTACGGCAAAGCCTCGAGGGCTATCTGCCGAAGGGAGGACTTTCTAATGGAAACTGGCTCGCATACACGTTACACATGGGGAAAACCACGAAAACGCCCATGCAGCCAGCCCTTTCGCGGGATTCGAACCTCGGACCGAACTACCAGTGTTCATCGACTTTACCGCCCGGCCGCTATTTTATCTATGATACCTCGGGTTATATCATGACAGCTGCATTAATTAAGGTTGCATTCCTTAACAAAATATTGTTAAGAAGTCTAGATAAAAATCGCAATTTAAACAATTTGCTTTCTAAGCTGAAGGGAAAAGTACTTTTATGATTTAAAATTAGGCAAAAACGTTAACCTTAATATAATACAGTTTTCGAATTCAAAAACAAAATTAAGTTTTAATTAATCTAATTAAAAATTTCACACTGTCATGTTATTCAATCGTTTTAGTATTAATTCGCTTTTTATGCCTCCCAGATGGTGCAGTGGTTAGTGAAGCCATGGGTGTAACTGCTCATGTCTTCATATGAGGTGACTGTGGCCGCCTATTAGGTGCCTCCACAATAAAATGGCCACCACTCCTGGCCTTAGGAGTGCTCAATTCATTTTTATTCTACCACGGTAAATTAAACACCTTTCGCCCCCGCCAGCTGGGACACAGTTGGGGGAGGATAGCTAAGACCTTACTCTTTAATAGAAAAAAAATCTCGTAATACATTTGCCAAAAAACACCGCTCTTGCATTTATTGCGCAAGAACTCTCATGTCGGGGATTTTGTAAGATGATTTTCAAGTTCATTTATAAGCCCGTTATTTTGATTCAGTTGAACTTTTCCGTATCAGTTGTTCGCATGGTAATAATCTCTCTTTATCCCCGAAATACGATAAGTTCGAATATTTGAGATTTCAACTGAAAATGTTTGTGCTTTCAAACGCCTTTTTATCAAGCAAGGCGATGCTCCTGAAACGGGCGTATATTTAACAGCATGTATATATTTTCACGGTGATTTATTTAAGCAGACAAATCTAACAAAATATAAATTTTTAAAAATTTGAAAGGTTTAACATTTTAACGGTCGCCCAAAGGTTGTGGCTAAGGTTTTTTACGCTCTGGCTGAGCTCGCAGCCTACCAGTCAGCTGTTACACTCACTCTTACTAACCCACTTTTTTTTTGTCTTTTTAGCTTTATTATTAAACATCATTTTCTTCGCACTTACGAATTCAACAGCAAAATCACAAAAATTTTAAAAACAGCATACCAGTATGCATTTAGAATTCCTGATGTAGCGTTAAGTGTTAACTTACATTTTTCTGCTTTTTTTAATCTTTTCTCAGTTTATCATATCAATGTCCAGTTTTCATACTAACATGGCTTTGCAAAACTTTTGTCTTTTTATTATTAACGTTTGTACGTTTACTTAATTTATTCAACATCACATTCTTGGCGCGTACGCCACATAAAATTCGATTCAACTGCAAAATCGCAAAATATTTAAAAACAGCATACCTTTAGAATTTCTGATAGACAGTTTCGCGAGCTGAAGTTAAAAATGTTTTATTCCCTACAGTGTTGCCATTGCTCGCTTTCAAATCGTTGAGTTAGGATTCGACAACATCATTGAAATATCACAGCTCCGGTATATATTAGCAAAACTAACTTACCCGTTAGGCTTGAAGGCCGTAAAAGGTGCGGAGATCAGACCCTCGAACGACAAGACCTATAACATAAATTAAAACAAAATAAACTCGTCACTATGCGGCCTACGAAAAATTATTTTGTGACCCAACGTGTAAGAAAGGATGTTAGAAATATCTTTAAGCGCTAAAAGCTTCATAAGGATTAATAAATGCGTTATAAATTATATCAATTGATTCTATTATGAAAGGAAAAGAAATCTGAAGCGGACGCCACATGACCTCCTTGTACGATATATTAAATTAGGCACATTTTTTGCAGCATATCATTTAAACTTATTTTAACTTTTTCGCTATTTATTATCGTAGTCATAGACTTCCAGTTACAGAAAAGTTTTTGATGACGAAAATTCGCATGTTTTGGCAATGTCAAATTTAAAAATAAATTAATTTTTGACAAATAATGAAATCTAACTTTTAATGCGATCTTCTGTTTTCTATAATTACATTTGAGAAAATTTTATACTCGTTATAAAAGAGTAAAATTATATGAATTTTGACTCCCGTACGACAAAAACTGACCTGGATGATTAATTCAAAAATTTGCAGTTTCTTATGTCATTTTCAACTTGCCTTGAGGAATCGGTTAATTAAGTTAGAATAATTCTAGGAAATAAGTTTAAAGAAAGTGGAGCCCAAAATGTGTATAATTTAATATGCCGTATAAGTAACGTGGCGTCTACATTAGACTTTTTTAATTGTTCTACTAACATAAGCGTTAACAACATTTATCACAAAATGGGGGAGGGGGATTTCGTTACATTTAAAAAGGGAAAGTGGTTTTAAATAATTTACTTCCTTACTTCTGATGGCTCTTGAAAAGGATAAGCAAGATAATTGAAATCTTACACTTACAGAACGGCAACAATTCGTATTTTGTCAGGACAGGAATTTGTATACTCTCTTGCGATGAAAGTCTGGAATTTTGCACGTAACGGGTTCATTTAATCCGTTCTGCATCTCGAATTTAAATCCTATTCCTTAACTATGTTCGAAAATTCGCAAAAATAATACTACTAGAATCAACCACAAATTTAGAACCATGAGCATTACCGTATGTTCTTCCTATTAACTTCGAAAGCGGACAGCAGAAGTAGTGTTTTAATTATAATTTCATTTGTCTGAAAGCAGTGTAAATATTGTAATTAAAATAATATTTTATAAAATATAAGCTTTCAGTTTTTGAATCAACGCAAAAATATGAAAGAAAACTGGCAATAGCTTAATTCCTGAAAGAACAAATGAAGGTTAAGATTTAAAAAAATCAATGAGCGGCAGTCACAAAAACTATAAAGAATTCTATTTTTATTTCGCCGCTACAGTTTCTACGTCTCAGACGATGAATGATATTTGCGGAAATCATGAAGAATTCTATTTTGACTTTTGTGTCTGCAGTAATTCGCGGCCACTATCATAAAACAGAAGATGCAACAGTGTACACAGCTGCTATCGTTTCTCAAAGAATCAAAAGCTTTTTTTGACTTTAAGTTTGGTGAGTTACAGTATTAAACATGTATTAAATTAACCGGCATTTTACGTTACCGGCATTAAAACAGCTCTGAACAAGAACAATTACCGAACGTTTTAATACATTCTTTATGCGTTACAAAAATAAACAGAAAGGTAGTTCATTTTGACGTACGTACTTTTGCGATTTTTTCAGAAGCCATCGGAAGACGGAAGCAGATACCAACCATACTTGTCAGGAAGAAAAGTAAGGGAAGAAAAATTAAGCGCGACGCCCACGATCAGCTGTTTTCTTTATCTTCCTTCCGCCCTGTTGCGCACGCTCCAAGTTCTTTGCACGCACGTGCTTCGCCGAAAGGTGACGCATCGTCCCAATGCTGTAACTAGGCGCGTGCATATTACGGAAATCTGGGCGGAAGGTCTGAACTGACAGCAAGCAATTTCTCTCATTACGGCCTGTAACGTTTGGGTCATCCGGTGATATGAAAATGCAAAATACATTATATAATATAAACAAAGTTACGTTAAGCAGAGTAAAAACGAAATATAAATGTCGAATAGCATCGATTTGCCTGTCCAGTGGGTGCTTGGAATATATCATTGATTCCAATGAACGCTGCGTGAAATCCGTGATGAGTGTTAGACTTAATGCACTAAGCTACTCGGTTCAAATCTGAGATAGTGCTAGAATGTATAAGTGCTCATGAACTGGTTTCAGACAAAACAAGGAGTAATTAAATAAATAAATAAATGCAGGACTGTAAAAAGGGAAATACAATGCTATATCTCATGAGGAAATAAGTTGTATAGGTCTCAAATTGATATCAATACGTAATAATTTATATTTAAATTTTTCAGCGTATTTTACTGTGTAGAGACATTATTTTTGAAGCAGGAAGGATGAAAAAGGAGCAACGTTTTCGTCGGGAATCCAACCACGGATCTCTGGAATACGCGCCCACGTGCAGACCACCACACCACGAAGGCATGCTAAGAAAGCGGGAGAAATACCTTATAACTGTATCAGTGTTAATTGCCTTGGTAGAGACGTTGTTCTTAATTTTGTTAATGAAAGTTTTAAAATCTTCAAGTTTGAGCTCCTTCTGTGTAAATCTTTATTACGAACAAACTAGGCAGGTAAGCTTGAGAAGGAAGTTACTTTGATAGGTTTGCAGTTTAATACAGTTCCTGAGGCTGTACATTATAACGAAGAAGCATAGGTGAGAAGAGATCGCAATATGGAGGTTTATATTCGCTTTTTACTCGCGAAGTCTAGAGTTCATGAGGATTCGAGAAGATTTCTGAATTTACGAAAAACTCCTGTGGCAACAGAGATGTGCAGATTATAGGTAAAGGTGGAATTGAATCGCATTTCTAAATATGTTGCTTTGGTGACCCTGGGTGCAGTTCCATTCAGACAACATATTTCAGATTATGGCAAAACATTACTAGGGTTATCTGCCTAAGGGGATGGATGCTTTCGTGGAAGACTTTCTAAGGGAAACTGCCTCGTATACACGTTAAGTCCCAATCACATATGTTTCCGCTACGAGGGACCGGACGTCGAAAGGGACAATTCTCAGAAACCGCACATTTTTAGGAAACCCACGTAGCTAGGTTACCATTTTCACTTACTACAAAGACTTGAACGCCAAACAATAACCGATTATCCTTCAGATTTGGATCACGTGATCCTTTAGAAGCAGAACTGTCGTCTGATTGGTTAATCTCTACCCGGGACAGAGCTCCAGCGGAAACATTTTCGGTGAGGTACATCGTTTCCGTAGCTAGGCGGGACTTCGCTTCCAACGGAGCTGTTCTAGCAGTAGCTGCCGCTTCTAGCAAGTCCCGTGTAGCAGGGGCTGTCGCTAGATGTGATAACCCATTTATACAAGGGAAAACGACGAAAACGCCTATGCAGCCAGCCCGTTCGCCTGGAATCGAACCCCGGTCTAAACTACCAGTGTTCAGCGATTTTACCGCTCTCTTGTGGGCGATTTATATGATTCAATATGCTTTTAATTTACGATATATCCAACTGGTAATTTTTATGAATATTCACAGTATTATCGTAATTTATGAAAGATTCTTTAATGCTCCAGGTTACGAATTTTATATAAAATTATTTGGTTTTGGTTGGCAACCTTTATTTCTCTTCCGATATTTGCTTTCTGAATTGTATTGAGGAAAATTATAATATTATCTGTGATTGCAGAAATTATTCGTCGTTGAGTATTTCACTTACAAGAAAGAAAAAAAGTCATGATTTTAGACTGCAAGCAATTTGGGACACAAAACAACCAATATACTATTTTACTATTTGAAAATCTTTAGTTTTTAACAGTATAAAAGAAAAGTAAATTGTCAATAACGCTCTAACTTTGCAAAATTGTATCCTTCTCGTTGCTTTTAACATAAATGCAGCATTTTTTAACATTCTTTCTCAGTGGAAGCTTTTTATCGTATATAATTAGAAGTGACATATTTTCTCCAACAGTAGGAATAAATAATTGCCAAACACCCTTTTCGTTCTTAATGACTCCACCAGATGTCACCACCAGCCAGCTAATATATTTTTACGCAAATTTAATTAGTCATCTTTTAGTACGGTTTTAAAAGCTCGGGAAATCTTACTACTATTATTATTATTTAAAAAAAATAATAATAATAAATAATGGGGGTTAAAAGCAAAATATAAAAGACAAAGATTATAGTCAATTTATGCAAAAAATAAACAAATATTTAACTTTCTTTGAGAACAAAAAATATTTCATTTTATAAATCAAGAATTCTTTCTTGCCAAATGTACGCTTTTTTTTGCATTTTTTTACTTCCATGTACGAAGTAGAGGAAGTATTATTATCGCGAAAAATTCCGGATATCATATTTCAACGAAAATATCCGTTTTGACCGCTATCGAATGCAATTTGACGATGTTTTTGCATGACAGAATAAAGGACTCTTTTTTCCAAACGAATTATAAAACTGATTTAAAATGGATTCAGAAGAGATTTTTTTTTCGTGGCGTTTGTACGTACGTACCTCGCATAACTCAAAAACGAGTAGCCTCAGAACGTTGAAATTTTGTACATAGGACTGCTATAACATGTAGTTGTGCACCTCTTATTTTGGTTGCAATCGGCCGCACCAAAAGTATATAAATATATATGTATCAAAAGAATAAATTGAATTTATATACACTCACTCTGTTACTCATATGTTATATACTCACTCACTGAGCTAAGTTTTTATATTCTTATATGTTGGTAAATTGTGCACTTTTTGCTTTAAAAATGATTGAATGATCTTATCTTCCGATTAAGGTTTCTATGCCTTCAGTTAACTTGCATGCAATAGTTGTAGAATTATCAACACTTTAAAAGTTTTGAAGTGCGGCTATGCCTAAATTTTTATACTATAGCAGCCATATTTGTTTACATTTGAAACTCGGCAGAACAGTGAATTAAAGTCTTTCTGAACCTTCAGTATCTTTTTGCTAAGTGGGACCAAAAAGAAACTTTTAGTTTTGTGCACCGAAAAATCTGCCTTCTTGTCTGCTGGTCGAATTGCTTGTTTTTTGGTAGAAACTGTAATTTTTTTTAATTGTTTTAACTGTATTTGGTGTTCTGTGTTTTTCTAAATATTCAAATTTTTTTAATGAATATATTTTGAGCTTTTATGTATTTTCGTCTTGCTGCGAAGTGAGAACTGAATTAATTGAATGAGAAATCTATCTCTAGTGAAATTCGAGAAAATAAGTTTAAATGAAATGCAGGAAAAAAATGCGCATAATTTAATATTCCGACCGTCGTTTCTAAAACAACAAATTCCGGACCTCAATGAAATACCAAAAGGAATGGCGAAAAATAAAATAATAATAAATTAAGCAATAAATATTGAAATTAAAATTTACTAACAGATACTATTAATGAAAAATTAAATGTAAAAATTACGTAAAAGTACTTAAAAATTAATACAAATTAATAATAATTAGGAAAAGAATAAGTTACATAAAACTAATGCATTTCTAAAAATAAAAATGAAGTTAGAAGTTTAAAAACTTTATCGAAAGTTGCAAAATAATTTATAACAAAGCATGGAAAATGAAGGATTAAAAAAAAAGACAGGAACTGTATTTTCCAAGGTCAGATAAAGCTGATTTCTTGGGCATTTAAATGCTTCTTGACTGGACAGGTAGATCATAAATATCCCTCAAGTGATAGCATTTTGAAATAGGGTGTTTATTTCTCATTCTCTGTGCCACCCAGACGGTATATGCCGCTCGCCGGAGAAGACATGATTGTAACTGTCTGTTCCTTCATAAGAAGCAAAGGTGACCCACCTATTAGGTGCGTCCATAATACCACCACTTCTGGCTTTAGTTGTGGCCAAGTGGAAGTCGGCTGAGGGCTCGCCGTTGGGGGGGGGAGGAATTTCCCAGGTGCTTTCGTTTTATCGCCTATTTTCCTGATCGCAGGAACAGTAGGTATACAAGTCAATACAAATTTTAATAATTGCTAAAAACCCATAACAGCATTTGAAACTTTTTTTTTTTTTTTTTTTTTTTTCAGTCTAAAGGGGTTTTGTCCCTGAGGGACTATTGTTTTCGTTCTGCGATTTTTCGTCGAATCACTCTGAATGTCCGTTTCAGTTTTCAAACTGTTGCCACTAAATATTTTCGCCTTGTATTATATTGGAAGAAATTAAATAATGAAGAATCTGCATAAATGTATGTAGTATATTTCTCGCACTGTGATAAAACAACGGTACCTAAAGCCATCCAATTTTGAATGACGTAATCGGCTGCGAATATGGCCATCTGGAAGCCCAAATTTCGAATTTGTTTTATTATCGACCTCATATTTTGTAAAACTTTAACGAATTTTTGATTAACAAACTCAAGGATTTCAAAGCGAGCCATGGCAACGTTGTACAGAAAAAACATTTTTATCTCCAAGGCGCAAGACTCTGTATCGGAAATTCTAAAGATATGCTCAATTTAAAAATATTTTGCGAAATTGCTGTTGAACTGAATTTTATGGTTTATTTGCGAAGAACGTGATATTTAATAAATAAAGGTAACAGACAAAATGTTAAAAAAACGCCTCCTTTGGACGTAATTTAAAATCTGAAACCTTTCAGATTTCCTTTTCTTTTTCTTTTTTTTTTTTTTTTTTCCTTTTATTATTATTATTATTTTACTTTTTGCAAATGGCGGCTCCTCAGCCGACTTCGGCTCGGCCACTTTTGAGGTAAAATATGGTGGTCACTTTATTATGG